ATTTTCCATACTGAGATCCTGTATGTACTGTAGATGGTGGTGGATAAACTGTAGTGATAACCTTCTCCCACTGGGGGTCTCCTGGACTCACTGAGCCTACATGTAGGATGGATGGATAGGGTTTTCTCCCCTCGTCCTGCAGGGTCTGTATGTATACTGTCTCCACCTCTCCTCTTTATTCCTCCATATTTTGTTTTCATAAAAAGAAATATATATACACATAGTGCCTTATCCTTTGTAGAATAGATTTATTAAGGTGTAAAAATGCGCACTCACATGTAATATAAACAAATCACGCTTTGTATAAAATTATGCCTCAGTGTGTGCTCATGCACAGTCTGTACTCGCCGTTGTGCAGATCTCTAGATAGCGTTGTGACGTCAGAGCCCCTCCCCTAACGCATTACGCCACCGGTCACGTGGCTTCATCAAGGAGATTCACGCCATTGTCCTGGACAAATATGGCAATATGTTAATTAATTCACTGAACTACGAACAGATTGGGTCCAGGGCGAGTTCAAGCTGCACTCGAACCTGAAGCCCAGCCCTAATCAGGACTATGTTATGTACAGCACACAAAGTGCAGTGATCAACATAGTGCCCCTTACATTTCTCATCTGTGGGAGGAAAAAAATTCCCCAGTGATCTTACATATGGGTATACCATGCCATTTTACTCAATGCTGTGCATGCATTTTACAGCCCATTCATAAAATGTATGCTGTGATTCGTAGACTTTGGATTTCTTCTGATTAACACAGCAGAAACCTCTGTAATTGGTGGAGAGCCGGTCACAGGAAATGTCATGGGTTCTACTCATGGGTTTTTTTTTTTTTTTTGGTAACTCCCATTAATTTTAAGAAGGGACTTAGAATCCAGTTTAGTGGTAGGCACCTTTGTATTTGTTGTACTTCTTAAATATGCAGTATTATTATTTTCTTGTAACACTGCATGCAGGAAATTCCACTGCTTTATAAATTGACCCCTAAATGCACGGAAGTGCCGCATGCTTTCACAGGATATTTTGAAAGGAGAGCATGCTATATCAACCTCGTTTTCTATAATATCCTTTAGGGGGTCAGGCCACCCCTGCTGATGATACATATCCATTTAGAAATAATGACAGAAAATAGAAAATGTCTTAATACATTACTTTCATTTCCTTGGTTACCTAACTGTACCAACTTACTGAACCAGCACACTTTTTTTCCATTTTTTTCACAAGCTGGTATGTCAATTTGTGCTATTTTCTTTAAAAAAAATGGGATTCATTAATTCTACCAGTGATTGGTTGTTAAGAATCCAGAATTTTTGCTCTACTATGATTCACACTGTAGACAGTAGCACCACCTGGTGGTAAAATCAGTGTTTCACATTCACCAGTAAGGCAGGCATACACGATTCATTTTCTTGTGTTCAACCAATAAAATTCCTCCCAGCCACACATTCAATGCGTATGGGGGAATCCTTCTAACAGAGCTATTATATTATGACAGCGGGGAGGCTTCCTTGCCATCAGAATGCACTCATCAGCACCGCTGGTTATAGCCCGAAGCCATGATCTGATTCAACAAAGAGACACACTTCTTTACAACCAGCCTGCTCATAGATGGATAGAAATTTTGCTGGTCCCGGGTGAACCGGCCAAATGTTGATCCATGTATGGCTGGATTTAGACGGGGATGCTCTCTAATAGGGATCTTCAAACATTGCATTATGAGGGTGGCATTGTATATTTTACAAATATGCACAGGCCTATAAAAAAAAAAAATTAGTTTTATAAATGTGCAATATAAATACAATTTAAAGTGGTCGTAAAACCTCAGATATGAAATATGAACAAAGCACAGCCCATATTGTGTACTTGTCTCAATCCAGAGCACATAAGTGTCATTTCTGTCTGCAGCCTTGTTCTGCTGTTATCTGTATGAGTCACTTCTGACAAGTTTTCTTTGACATCAAGAGAAAAAAAGGTAACAGGGGAGGGAACTGCTTTATTCTGAACTTTGAATGGATGTAGAGAAGTAAAGACTGCATATAAGCAGGTGCAACTTATGTAGGAGGATTTGTTTCATCTCTGTGTATCACCCGAGGCCAGTCCCTTCACTGGTTATATGTAAGGGTTTACAACCACTTTAAGTTCACCTTTAAAAAAAATATATAAATGCACATCTTTTTCCAGGTAAAAAAATACTAAATTTTTTTTTTCATTAGGAGCCTGATCACGGGTACATATGCCAGGATCCTGCAGACAGTCAGTGTAGCGGTCTGCTCATACCTCACATGGGCAGAAAGCTGCATAATGACAAGAAGAATCAATGAACTACCTAGAACACTCATCAGTACTCTGGTAGTTCATTGAGAACTACAAGCCTTCAGCTGCAATGGATGATGGTAGTTGTAGTTCTCCCATCCACAGAACTCTGTAAATGAATGATAAGGACGCTTTTTTTTTTCAATTGTGACAGCGGTGCGAAGATCCCCTGCAGAGGCCATGTCACGGCACCCCAGTATAGCTACAGTCCCAACTATAAATTTTGAGAGTCCCCAAAGTTGTAACACAATATATATATATACAGTGGGGCAAAAATGTATTTAGTCAGCCACCAATTGTGCAAGTTCTCCCACTTAAAAAGATGAGAGAGGCCTGTAATTGGCATCATAGGTAGACCTCAACTATGAGAGACAAAATGAGAAAATAAATCCAGACAATCACATTGGCTGATTTGGAAAGAATTTATTTGCAAATTATGGTGGAAAATAAGTATTTGGTCACCTACAAACAAGCAAGATTTCTGGCTCTCACAGACCTGTACCTTCTTCTTTAAGAGGCTCCTCTGTCCTGCACTCATTACCTGTATCAATGGCACCTGTTTGAACTTGTTATCAGTATAAAAGCCACCTGTCCACAACCTCAAACAGTCACACTCCAAACTCCACTATGGTGAAGACCAAAGAGCTGTCGAAGGACACCAGAAACAAAATTGTAGACCTGCACCAGGCTGGGAAGACTGAATCTGCAATAGGCAAGCAGCTTGGTGTGAACAAATCAACTGTGGGAGCAATAATTAGAAAATGGAAGACATACAAGACCACTGATAATCTCCCTCAATCTGGGGCTCCACGCAAGATCTCACCCCTTGGGGTCAAAATGATCACAAGAACGGTGAGCAAAAATCCCAGGACCACACGGGGGGACCTAGTGAATGACCTGCAGAGAGCTGGGACCAACGTAACAAAGGCTACCATCAGTAACACACTACGCCGCCAGGGATTCAGATCCTGCAGTGCCAGACGTGTCCCCCCTGCTTAAGCCAGTACATGTCCGGGCCCGTCTGAAGTTTGCTAGAAAGCATTTGGATGATGCAGAAGAGGATTGGGAGAATGTCATATGGTCAGATGAAACCAAAATAGAACTGTTTGGTAGAAACACAACTCGTCGTGTTTGGAGGAGAGAGAATGCTGAGTTGCATCCAAAGAACACCATACCTACTGTGAAGCATGGGGGTGGCAACATCATGCTTTGGGGCTGTTTCTCCGCAAAGGGACCAGGACGACTGATCCATGTACAGGACAGAATGAATGGGGCCATGTATCGTGAGATTTTGAGTGCAAACCTCCTTCCATCAGCAAGGGTTTTGAAGATGAAACATGGCTGGGTCTTCCAACATGACAATGATCCCAAACATACCGCATTTCAAGGGTCCTGGAGTGGCCTAGCCAGTCTCCAGATCTCAACCCCATAGAAAACCTTTGGAGGGAGTTGAAAGTCCGTGTTGCCCAGCGACAGCCCCAAAAAAACATCGCTGCTCTAGAGGAGATCTGCATGGAGGAATGGGCCAACATACCAGCAACAGTGTGTGCCAACCTTGTGAATACTTACAGGAAACATTTGACCTATGTCATTGCCAACAAAGGATATATAACAAAGTATTGAGATGAACTTTTGATATTGACCAAATACTTATTTTCCACCATAATTTGCAAATAAATTCTTTCCAAATCAGCCAATGTGATTGTCTGGATTTGTTTTCTCATTTTGTCTCTCATAGTTAAGGTCTACCTATGATGCCAGTTACAGGCCTCTCTCATCTTTTTAAGTGGGAGAACTTGCACAATTGGTGTCTGACTAAATACTTTTTTGCCCCACTGTATGTATGTGTATATATATATAAATATATATATATATATGTATGTATGTGTATATATATATATATATGTAATGGTAAATGATTAAGGGCAGGAATGCCTGAAGGGAGCCTACCCCTCCCAGAATGCGTATTAAAAAAAATGTGATCAAGTCTAAATTCTAGGCTTGTTTAGCATTCATTCATTTCAATTTCTGGCTAATGAAGGAATGAATGCCCAAATGCCTGAACAAGTCTATATGTATTTGCAAATCGCAGCTTTAGGCGTGTTTTTTAACATGACTTTTCTCCTGCCAGGAGAAAAGAAGTTCAGAAGAGCTGGGCATGAGGCCTAAATAAGTAGACTTTTAGGCAGGAATCTATTAAACCCACATTCTCAGCAGCTTAAGCATTGCATATACTTACCTACCATACTGCTGTGTCCAGGATCTTCACTGTGCAGATTACCATCACCCCAAAGCCTCTGGATGAAATCTTCAGGGATCCTTTGCTCTGTACTAGCACATGCATAGCACAATCTCCATTCACTTTTCTGGAAAGCCCATCTCCAGACCAGCAAGGCTTTCTATTGAAGTAAATAGAGCCAATAGCATGCATGTGCCACTATAGAGAGGAGGATTTCAGCCAGAAATTGTGCAGTGCCTGGCAGGTTATGCAATGGAAATTCTGCTGATATTGACAGGTGTACCCTTGGGTAAAAGATCTAGGGGACAGGGGTGTCTTCAAGCTATGAACATGAATTGTTATATAATACGGAGGGCTGAGGTTTATTCAGTTTGCGAAATATACGGTATATTACAATCATTTTTATTTTATGATGTAAATCACTTAAAAGGAAAAACGTGCATAAAAACCTAGCTGGGTAATTTTGTTCTGTTTTTAAACAGTAAAAGACTTCGTTCCCAACTTGTATTACCAAAACTATGAACAAGTTCACTATTGCAGTGTCTGGCCAAAATGTCAATGATTTGTTCTGTCATGTCACCACGGACGGCCAGATTGTGGAAGTGATCAAAGTCTTGTCTCCCCAGCTTGCGTAGGCGTCGGGCCGCTGACCTATAACACTTCCATGGCTGAGGCTCCACTAGCAGAAAGTCACACAGTGTTGTTAGTTTCTTGAGGAATTCTACCAGTCCGCTGTCACCATGATTTAGATGGATCCACATGGTTATTGACATACAAAATCCAATGTCAAACTTTGATTGGCCAAATTTGTCCAAGAAGTTTTGTAAGATGTCCAGTGATGAGGGGTCCATGATATCTAGAGAAGAGAATGTGAGAGAAACGGGGAAGGGGTTTCCGGTGTTCGCTCTGAGGATCAGATCAGGGTCAATGTCACAGCACAAGAATCGGACATCTTGCAATGCCTCTGAGCTTCCCTTTGGTTGTAAGAGATTGTTATATAAACCAATACTGAGATCCTGGAAAACAGATAGACAACATAAAATTCATATTACAACTTAGTTCAGTGCCAACAATATACATTTAACCACTAGCCTACAGGGCACTTATACCCCCTTCCTGCCCAGGCCAGTTTTCAGCTTTCAGTGCTGTTGCACTTTGAATGACAATTGCGCGGTCATGCAACACTGTACCCATATGAATTTTTTTATCATTTTTTGAGACAGATATAGCTTTTTTTTTGATGGTATTTAATCACCTCTGGGTTTTTATTTTTTGCTAAACAAACCAAAAACAACTGAAAATTTTGAAAAAAAAAAATTTTTTCTTAGTTTTTGTTATAAAATTTTGTAAATAAGTGATTTTTCTCCTGTGATGTGCGCTAATGAGGCTGCAGTGATGGGCACTGATAGGCTGCACTGATGGACACTGATAGGTGGCACTGATGGGCACTGAGGAGGCACAGGTAGGTGGCACTGAAAGGCAGCACTGATATATGGCACTGTTAGGCGGCACTGACGGGCACTAATAGGCGGCACTAACTGGCATTAATAGGTGTCACTGACTGGCACTGATGGGTGACACTGAAAGGCAGCTCAGATGGGCACTGATATGTGGCACTGATGTGCACTGGTAGTTTTTGTTATAACATTTGTAAATAAGTGATTTTTCTCCTTCACTGATGTGCGGTAATGAGGCTGCAGTGATGGGCACTGATAGGTGGCACTGATGAGGAGGCACTAGTAGGTGGCACTGATGGGCATTGACAGGCATCACTGATGGGCACTGAAAGGCAGCACTCATATGGCACTGATAGGCGGCACTGTTAGGCAGCACTGACTAGCACTGTTAGGCAGAACTGATGGGTATTGATAGACGGCACTGATTGGCACTGATATGTGACACTGAAAGGCAGCTCAGATGGGCACTGATATGTGGCATTGATGTGCACTGATGGGCACTGGCAGGTGGCATTGATGGGCAATGACAGCTGGGGCTACACTGATCATCAGGGCACACTGATGATCAATGTACATGTCCTCTCTGAGTAATGCTGATTACCGGCTCTGCTCTCCTCTCGAGCGGTCAGCATGACAGCTCGTGAGGAGAGAAATGCCGATAACCGGCATTTCCCTATTTACATGTGATCAGTTGTGATTGGACACAGCTGACCACATGACCGAGCCGACATCTTCGGCTCTTTCCATTGATCGGTGGTGATCCGCTGTGTCCCAGGGACACAGGGCACCACCGATCGCCGCGCTGTGAGGAGGGAGCAAGGCCGCTCCACACTGTGTGTGTGTCAATGAACATAGAGCCTGGCTCAGGATCAAGCCCGCCCAAATGCTCCCATAGCAAGTAGTTTGCTATGGGAGGACTTGGCAAGGGGGAAAAACCGAGAGCGCCAGCAGAGGAGGATCAGAGCTGCTCTGTGCAAAACCAATGCACAGAGCACGTAAGTATAACATGTTTGTAAAGTTCTGTAAAGGTATTTTTTAAAAACTAACAAAGACTAGAATATATGAAACTAAAGTAGAAATAGAAACTATCATTTTTAGGAAAAATAAATAAAAAAAATATAATAGCTTAGAATATTGTGCATTCATTTTTTTCAATGAATTATTTTTTTCAAAATAAAATGTAGTACAAACACATGCAAGATTCACTGATAGTGGAGTACACCAGTAACCATTGCAGGCACAGCATTTATAGAACACAAACTAGGCATGATAACATAGAGCATCTCGTCATCAGAACAAATCTGTCCCAATCCAGGGGGGGTAGAGGCAGTATGAGGGTCATATAAATAAAATACCAGAGGCTTTGGTACCCAACAAGTTTAAACAAGGACAGAACCTAATGGGAAATATGATTAGAGAACCTGGTCCAGAAGACTACAGGAAAGAGCAACAGTAGAATTAGGGGGTGGTGGGGCAGAAGGAGAGGAAAGGGTGGGAAAGGAAGAGTAGGGGGGAAGACAGACAACCATGAGGGCTTACAGCATCCAAAATGACAATTTTATAGGGAAAGGCCTAGATGTTCTTGTTTACGTTTGTAAAGGAGCAGGGGCGGACTGACAACTCATGGGGCCCCCGGGCAATAGGGGATCATGAGGCCCCTGTGTCCTTGCCCAAACTCAAAAAAGCCTATGAAAAAAGGTACCAGGGGCATCTCATGGGGCCCCTTACTGACCCCGGGCCCTCGGGCAGTGCCTGAGTTTCCAAATGGTCAGTCCGCCCCTGTCAAGGAGTCTCAATGCAAGGTAGAAGGAAGGTAGGGCTTGACCCAGGGTTCCCAAACGTATTGGAAATTTTTTGATAGCGTCAGTCTGTATAGCCAAATGCCATCTAGCCATTTTTGGCTGGATTTCCTATTTAACCACTTGACCTCTAAAAGGTTTTATCCCCTTCATGATCGGGACATTTTTTGCTATTCATCACTGTGCTACTTTAACTGGCAGTTGCTTGGCCATGAAACACTGTACCCTAATGCAATTTACATAATTTTTCTTTTACATAAATAGAGCTTTCTTTTGGTGGTATTTGATCACCACTGCATTTTTTTTAAAATAAACAAAAAAAGACCTAAAATTTTGAAAGCAAACATTTCTACTTTGTTATAAAATATATCCAATAAAATTTAATTTCTATATAAACTGGCCAAAATGTATTCTGCTACATATCCACATCTAACACTGCATTTTTTTGGGGATACTGGTATAGTTCTGATTGTGATCAAGATACTAATCCGTACAGACTCTATACTAGTTGCTGACGAAACATGTCAGGCAGAGCCTCCCTCTGACATTATTGCGCTGTTGGCCATCTTGGATATGGTTCATGTGAATGCTTTTAATTGTTCTACAGCTTGTAAGTAGGATCCTATTTGTGCAAATAAAGAAGTTTTTTATACGTTTTGCACTGTGAGAGGCATGTTTTTTCTTTCATGACCTTGTCTGGCACTACGCTTTGAGTTTACATTTGAGTTGGAGTCTGGGAAGTTCCATGCTTTTGGGGCGTGATACGGGAAGCCTGCCAGTGCTCTACATTATGAAGCTGGTTGGGACCCCCTGTAATTAAGGGGTCTCCATTTCTGGTAAGCCTACATTCATTACTTTGGTGGTGGTGTGCACTCTGGTAGCATGGTGGGCATTTTATTTTACATTTTTATTTTATTTTTTTATATTATTATTTATGTTTTTTTTTTTTACATACTGTCATCGTAGCAGTACATTGGGGGGTGATGAAGATTTTTTTTTTTTTTTTTTTTTTACACTGATTTCTTTTACACCCATAAAGGCTGTAAAAGCAATCATTTCTCCTTCTCTCTGGCTGCATTCTTGCAGCCATTGAGAACTACTGTGTGATCTGTGATTGGCCACAGCTTGTCACATGGTACAAGGCTGTTGTGAATAGCCTTGTACCATGTGACCTATGTGATCATTCACAGATTTCACACGTAGTAAAATAATTGAGTACGGTCTGTGATACTTTTTTTATGTGCAGTACTCCTAGACCTTGAAGAAGGGGACACACCCCAAAAGATTGTCCTTAAAATTGTATGTTAGTGCAAATAAAAAAATTATCACAGACAGTACTCAATTGTTTCTGTTGCACGTGCACTAATATGGCTACAATCACCTCAAGCAAACTAGTAGTAAGCAATGATGTCAGGAAGTGACATCTTGCTTACTACTATTCATGTGATTATTACTGATTAGCCAATCAGTGATCACATGATCGGGACCTCACACAGAGGTCCAGTACAGCGATCAATGTTCCTCTGTGTCCTACAGACACAGCGGGCACCGGATTGCGGTGCCGTACGCTCCCAGGGAGTGCGCACAGGCAGTGAATATGGAGGCCGTTTATAAAACGGCCACCTGCTCCTGCACTGCTACTGTCTGGCCGTTTATGTACATGGGCCAGACGGAAGTGGTTAAAGTATAATTTCACTGAAATTGCCGTTACACTTTAAATAAAAGCAGAAAACCCAATGTATTGCAGCTCACTATTCCTTAGATGTGGTGGCTGCATTAGTTTTTTTTGCAGGCTTTTTCCCTTTATTTTCATCCAGTAATATTGAGAATACCACACTCATTCCTGCATTGTATCTATGGGAGCAGCCATGGTTGTCACACATGCTGGGCATGTCCTGCCTTCGTTCATCTGTATTACATGGTGGATTGATGGGACTAGTCATTTCTGCTTCTTTTTGCTCACAGAAGTGACCAGGATAAAGCATTTCTGGCAGGATCAACATGTATTTTCTGGACTTGCCTAAAAAAATGAACACTAATGCAGCTGTCACGTAACCCTCCCAGGTGGTATTCCCGAGTGTAGCTCGGGGTAAAGTTTCAGCACCACAAGCAGTAACCCCGAGCTACACTTGGGAATACCTTGCAGCGTTGCTCCAGGATCTCTTCTTCACTTACCTTGTCCTGCGCTCCAGCGATGTCCCCCCTGCAGTGTCCCCGGCAATGTAATCCGGCAGATGCCGGCATCTGTCTTCTGGGTTCTGTTCCCAGAACCCAGAAGACAGGACATATGGGGGACGGAACGGCGGGAAATTTAAAAATGTGAAAAAGTGACATTCACTAAATACACTAAAATCACATAGTATAACATTACCTGTATCAAACCATTTCACATATTTTGTCCCGAGTGCTTTGTCCTGTGCCCTGCCTGCATTTTTACTGTTCTTTCTGCCTGGAAACTGAGAAACGTCCATGGCGTCCAAAAAGCGTCCCTTTAGGTCAAAATCGGTTTTAGACCAGCTAGAGAACAGCGATAGTAAATCAGAACCACTTGCAGAATTGAGTGATGATAATGGGGGAAATTCGTCATCAGACACTGAAAACAAATTTGTGACTTTGCTCAGCGATGTGCGAACTTGGCGCTATACTTCAAATTCCAGTGTTTTTGGTTTGATTATATTATTGAATTACATTTATTAATATTATATTATTATTTTTTTATGATTATTTATTAAATTTTAATTTATGATTTCGTGTTTCAAATTTTATCATACCCGGGATGTTTACTAGACTCTTATTCGGACAGATTTTAGTGAGTTATTCCTAAAAATTACAGGCCTACAATAAAAAAAATACATATTTCCATGCAAAAAAAGTACCGCTTTGAGCACAGAAATACTGACATAATCAGACTGCTAGGGAGGCTATAGGACTGATAACCTGTACAGAAGTGCCAAGGACACTGCATTTCTGGCAGGATCAACATTTATTTTCCAAACTTACCTAAAAAAAATGAACACTAATGCAGCTGTCACTTTAAAGGACTGATAACCTGTACTATATAACACTTATTTGTTGGGCTTACACATGCTGTATAAAAGGCATAAATATGCTCCTTATAACTGGATAAAGCATGTTGTGTACAACACGGGGGAGAGAAAGGTTCTGTCTTCATTTCAGCTTCTCAGTTACTTTCTTGTGTCAGAGCTGCAGTGTCGTTTACTTCTCCTATGCACCGCATGTAAACTGAGAGCGCTATCCCGTATCATTATACCTCGTTGTACAGGTCAGGTATCTACACTTACCCGAGACCGCTGGGAGGGAGAGTGCCCTGTGTCTGGCATGCAGCAGTTTGCACACACTATACATAGTGTTGGTCACTGATCTCACCATAACATTCATAGTACATTCACACCAGATGCAGTGGGACTGTTGGGCGGCCAGCACAGTCCCACTGCAAGAAAAGACAATGCCTCGTCTCCGACCTGGCCAGTTCACACCACTGTATTGCACTGGTATGCTCTGTGCAATGCGCACTGATCACCCACTAAAAACTGTGACATTTAAAAAAATGTATTTATTTATTTTTTTATTTAAAGTGCACAGTGCAATGCGCCACGATTGGTGCATGAGCACTACTGCAATCCCACCGCACGCCAGCTTCTGCATTGTAAGAAACACATATCTACACCTCCATGCTGCAGCTGTGCCCCGCTGTCGCTAAGCAGAAGAATTGAGCAATAACATGACTGCTGATCGCTCAGTTCTTGGTCTGCCCGGAGCAGAGAGTGGCAGCTGTCCAGAGAGCTGTCTCAGGGGTTGCAGCTGAGCCAAATAAGAAACTAAATAGTTGAATAAAAACAAGTCATTAAGGCCTAGTTTACGCTTGCAGTCCAGGGCGGTAAAAGTAGGTGGTTGAATCACAGTTTTACAGTTCTCTTAGGGACGGTTCACAACACAGAAATTCAGAACACAGTTCGGATGCATTTCTGCATGCACGTTTTTTTTACGTGTTTTGATGCTTTCCAGTGCATTTCCGATGCATTTTTTATGCTTTCCAGTACATTTTTCCCCTCATTTTTTTCTTCACCTTAAATAAGGACATGTACATTTCGGTGTGTTTAGGGAAGTTCTGGTGCATTTTACTGAATTCCAGTACAGTTCAGTGCAGAAAAAAATTAGGCATGTTCTACTTTTTTTTTTCCTGGAACTGATCATACTGGTGTGAACTATGCCATTGGAAACCATAAAACCTACTATTCATGCATTTTTGATGCAGAACAAAAACGCACTGGACTGCATGTGGTGTGAACCAGACGTTAAATTGGAATTCCAGGCTTTTTTTTATGTAAAACCTTTATCCCAAAAGGAAAAAAAACGGCCAGGTCACCAGATGAAAACAGAGGGGAAAAAAAAGCTTAACCCCCCTGGTGGTATTCCCGAGTGTAGCTCGGGGTAAAGTTTCAGTACCACAAGCGGTAACCCCGAGCTACACTCGGGAATACCATGCAGCATTGCTCCGGGATCTCTTCTTCACTTACCTTGTCCTGCGCTCCCGCAATGTCCCCCCTGCAGTGTCCCCGGCAATGTCCTCCGGCCGATGCTGGCATCTGTCTTCTGGGTTCCGTTCCCTGCGACATCGGCAAAAAAAATGTGAAAAAGTGACATTCACTAAATACACTAAAATCACATAGTAAAACATTACTGTATCAAACCATTTCACATACATTTTGTCCCGAGTGCTTTGTCCTGTGCCCTGCCTGCATTTTTACTGTTCTTTCTGCCTGGAAACTGAGAAATGTCCACAGGCATCCAAAAAGCGTCCCTTTAGGTCAAAAGTGGTTTTAGATCAGCTAGAGAACAGCGATAGTAAATCAGAACCACTTGCAGAAATGAGTGATAATGATTTGTGGGGAAATTCATCATCAGACACTGAAAACGATTTTGTGACTTTGCGAAGTAATGTGCGAACTTGGCGCTATATTTCAAATTTCAGTGTTTTTTGGTTTGATTATATTATTGAATTACATTTATTATTATTTTTTATGATTATTTATTACATTATAATTTATGATTTCACGTTTCAAATTTTATCATACCCGGGATGTTTACTAGACTCTTGTTCAGACAGATTTCAGTGAGTTATTCCTAAAAATTACAGGCCTACAATAAAAAAAAACAACATATTTCCATGCAAAACAATGTACCGCTTTGAGCACAGAAATATGGACATAATCAAACTGCTAGGGAGGTTAAAGAAAACGAATGCAGCCACCACATGTAATGATTGGTAAGCTGCAATATATTCCATTTTTGGTTTTGGGTCTAATACGGCTTTAAACCTGCTCCCACTCACCTTCTAAATCCTAGTCTGACTACCCTGTAGAAGAAAGATGCTTATCTTACCTATTTGGAGGGCTCTCTGGTCATGTCATGTGATCGGCTCCCGTGTAGAGGAGGGACAGCCGACAACGGATGCCCCATGGGAAGGCTATGAGTGATGTCAGCGCACAGGCTCTGCAGCTGTTGTCCTCTCCTCTGAAGCGGTCCTCTGGGAGATCACATGACCGGATCAGAGCGTTCGGAGAACAGCAAAGTATCTGCATCTTTATTTTATAGGGTGGTTAGTATAGGAGACAGAAGGGGGAAGGGAGCAGGTCTAAGCTCAGTTAGGAATAGCCTGGAATTCCAGTTCAAAGTATAACGAATGGCATTTATTTGAGTTCTGGACAGAGTGGAGGTGGATTAGACCCCCAATCAGTGTTTATAACAGTCCGTGCCCCCATTAGGGGGATTCCCCCTCTCTACGTGTCCTGTCTACCATTGTCATTGGTAAAGAAAACCCCACATTTTGGGTTGTCCCTAGAAACCTAATAGAGGGAATTGGGGACACTAATTGATGACCTGGGGTCTCCAAAAAAACTCCTTTAACCAGTTGGCGCCCGGCCTATGGCCGGATGGCAGCCAGGCGAACACTTCATCCCTCTGGGAGGACGCCATATGGCGTCCTTCCCGGATCGCGATGACAGATCTGTGTACCAGGCCCTGTTGCCAGTACCATGTGACCTGCTGTGACCAATCACAGCAGGTCACATGACAGTTGTATACAATGGATGGCTTCCTTTCATGCCATCCATTGTATATAAGTGTGTCTAGCTGTGAATGGTCACAGCGATCACATGCACAGGCTTGGCCAATCACAGCCCATCTGTGTCATGTGATTATGCAAAGCTAATTACACCTACTCACAACAAAAAAAAAAAACCTGAATGAATCGATTTCAGTCAGTTAAATGCTTGCTTATAGCAAATAAATTCTTTGCTATAATCAAATTGTGTAAAAAAAAAAAAACTGATCACTTTCCCAAAGTAGTACAATGTTACTATGGTAACATTATACTACTTTGGCCATGGTGCAATTTGAAAAACAAATTTGTTTTTAAAAATTATAAAAAAAATTTCGTACTGTCACCAGTCAGTGTCCCTGATCACCGCTATGCCAGTTATATGATGACGCTGTACTGCACTGATGACAGTATGTAAAAAAAAAAAAATTGTGAAAAATGTTTTTTTAATTTCATTTTCCGAAAAACGATGACAAAAAAATTATAACTTCAAAAAACTCGCCATGCCTCTTATGAAATACGTTGGACTGTCTACTTTGCAAAACGGGGTCATTTGGGGGATATCTGTACTGTTCTGACATTCTTGGACCTTGAGAAATTAGATTGGCCGTCAGTACTTCAGGATTGATCAATATTCAGATACATCCCATAGTTTGTGAACTCTATAACTTTCCTACAAACTAATTTTCTAAATAATAATTTCTAAATAATAAATACTAATTTGGGTTATTTTCACCAAAGACATGTAGCAGAATACATCTTGGCCTAAATTTATGAAGAACAATTATTTATTTGCAAACTTTTATAACAGAAACAAAGAAAAACGTGTTTTTTTTTTTTTAATTTTTGGTTGTTTTTTGTTAATTTAGCAAAAAATTAAAACCCCAGCGGTGATTAAATACCATCAAAAGAAAGCTCTAGTTGTGTGAAGAAATGATAAAATTTTAGTTTGGGTACAGTGTTGTATGACCGCGCAATTATCTTTCAAAGTGTGAGCGCGCTGAAAGCTGAAACTTGGCCTGGGCAGGAAGGGGGTAAAAGTGCCCGGTATGGAAGTGGTTAATTTGCAGGGATTTCCTCTCTTCCTGTTTGGCTATGGGACAGGAAGTGAAGGAAAATCTCCCCAATGGGACACAGAGGTCAAAAAAACCTGACAGGGGTTATAACGCTATCCAAAATAAAACAAACCGTTTTGCCTATAGTTCTACTCTTTTTGGGTTAAGTGGGCAGTTCTGCCACGCATTCAAGAGCATTATATGTACGATATTGCGGGCTTTACAGCATTAAAAAAAATTAAAATGAAAAAAAAGTGAAGAGGTGACATAACTCCTCCTAGCCGCCTATCACGTGCCATCTGAAAAGCAATTCACCACCGTTCATCCTTCAGAGGGTGACGCAAGTGGAAACAACTCATTATATGGCAGGGGAGGGGGGTCTACCATGGCGTACGGTGTGATATCTGTGCGACGGTCCGCTGTAATGACCAATCGGGAAGTGGCAGTGATATCATGCTAGGACAGATATCTATTGATGATCAATTATTGGTTTTGGAATTCAATAATAAACAATTGTCTATCTGGTGGGGTAATTTCCATACATCGCCCCTCCCCGGGACACTTTTATGTGATCAGGAAGCATCCTCTTGTCTGATCTCTATAGTTGCCCCCACTCACACTCCTGTGTTGCATCCCACATCCAGGGCCAGCAGAGGCGCCTCCCCTCCCCCCTGTCTGTTCAGGAGCTCCAGCAGATGTCCCGGGGGAAGGAGGCTGAGTCGGCTCTCCGGTGGATGAAACGTGTAGTAGTTGGGGAAGTTCCCGTACGGAGCAGCTCCAGGATCCTCCAGCTCTGCCATGCTACACCAGCTGCTGACAACATGAAGAGAGCTGAGCTTCCTGCTGCGGCCATCTTTCTCCACCCAGAGCATTGGAATGCAGAGTGAGGGACCATGTTACTACACCCAAAGCACAGAGAACTAGGCTTCTGGTCGCCGCCATCTTTCTCCACCCAGAGCGTTGAATGCAGAGCCAGGGACCATTTTACTACACCCAGAGGACAGGGCAGTAGGTTTCTGGTCGCGGCCATCTTTCTCCACCCAGAGTTGGAATGCAGAGCGAAGGACCATGTTACTACACCCAGAGCACAGGGCTCTAGGCTTCAGGTCGCCGCCATATTTCTACACCCAGAGCGTTGAAATGCAGAGCGAGGGACCATCTGCCGCCATCTTTCTACACCCAGAGCGTTGGAACGCAGAGCAGGGGTCTTGTTACTACACCGAGGATATAGCTGACAATTCTACATTATTGGTTAGGGGCATAAGTACTGTGATAACAGCTACCACAGTAATCCCCGTTTATACTTTAAAGTAGAACAATAGGCAAAACTTTTTGTTTTGAATAACATAAGGGAGGGTTAGAATCCTTGTCAGATTATTTTTTTCACCATCTGTGTCCCCTTGCTGGGATTTTCCTTCACTTCCTGTCCCATAACCAAACAGGAAGTGAGAGGAAATCTCTGCAGATGAAAGGAATCCCTTGGGGGCCCCCTAGGTCACCTGAACCAGTGTCCCCATTGGAAGATTTCCCCTCTATTACTTTTCTGGGGACAACCCGCAATTTGGGATTTTCTTTTACTTTCACTTTCAAATGGTAAACAGGACAAATAGAGAGGGGGAATCTCCCTAATGGGGGACACGGACCGCAATAAAAACAGGTGTCCTAATCCCTCTCCAAACAATCCAAAACAAAAAAAAGTTTTGTCTTTAGTTATAATTTAATGAAGGGTTGTTTCTGACTCATTGTTTACTAGAATTAATGACCCTATTGCTGGATATCCCTCCTATTCCTGTTTTGGTGACAACCCAAAATTTGGGATTTCCATTCACTTTCGGTGATAATGGTAAACTTGACAAGTCTGAGAGGGTGAATCTCCCTAATGGAGACACAGACAATAATGAAACTTGACAGGTGTTCTAATCCATCTGTCAAGAAAAAAAACAAAACGTTTTGACTTTAGTTACATATTAACACCCCAGTCACATCGGGTGTGATTTGGCATGCCATGTGCATGACATTCGACTTGCAAGTCGCACCCTATTGTCTCCTATCAGAGCGGTCATATCGGTGCAGTTCCGACTTGGTAGGAGCCACACTGATTTCTAAAGTAGTACATGCACTACTTTTGGTACTGCATGTACACGATTTGCATAGACATCTGTGTAAGATGTCTGCAAATTCAAATCGATGTCACCCGGAAATGTGCGACTTCACTGTAAGTTGCACAATTTCAAAATCTGCTTTTGCCTATTTTGCCATACTATGTCTGCTCTGTCTCTATGACTGCCTTCCTGTTAGCAGTGAGGAGATCCCAGAAGTCGGGTCAGGAAGTAGCAGTCATCTCCCTGGCTGTGCAGTGTGGCAGAGGTCTGAACAAAAATGAAAATCCTTTCTTTAGCAGCAATGTTATATGTATGTTTACTGCTCATTTTGCTTTTTTTCTGCAGTTGCCTATTAAAGTGTTATAGAACCTTCCATAGAAAAATAAAAAAGAATTTGTGTAGCGGTGTACGGTACGTCATCATTGTTTCCTGTGGCCTTTTCGTGACGTCTTGGCAGCATACTTTACTTCTGAAAATCCGGTGTTCAGTGTCCACTTCCAAAGGGTGGCTCCTTTTCCTTGCAGGGTCTTCCTGGAGCCACCATGACGTGTGCGCTCCCGTCTGGGACTGAATCTTTCCACACTGCATGGTGCTTTTCTCAGGAGACACATACCTGGTATGGCAGAGCTCTGATGTGTTTAGGTGCAGTATGGCATCGCTCTGGTGATAAGTATGAGCTGGGCTCTGGTGCTGCCTGCACCCAAACACCACAACAGAGTGCTACCTGTACTGTGTATGCACCCGAAGCCGCCAGCAGTGGTCATTAAATTCTAAGGTGGGGAAACCTCCTGCTGCCAGAATATTATAGAGAAGTGGGTGACTGTGTTGATGGGGGAGTAGACTTGAACGACTTTCCTTCCTTCAACCCAAGGTTGAAGGAAAGAAAACTGCATAATCTATGTCTTACGTTAGACTTTAACCCCTAGCCTACAGGGCTTATACCCCCTTCCTGTCCAGGCCAATTCCCAGCTTTCAGCGCTGTCGCACTGAATGACAATTGCGCGGTCATGCAACACTGTACTCATATTACATTTTTATCATTTTTTTGTGACAGAGCTTTATTTTGGTGGTATTTAATCAACTCTGGGTTTTTTATTTTTTCTTAAACATACCAAAAACCACTGAAAATTTTGAGTTTTTAGTTTTTGTTATACAATTTTGTAAATAAGTGATTTTTCTCCTGTGATGTGTGCTAATGAGGCAGCAGTGATGGGCACTGATAGGCTGCACTGATGGACACTGATAGGTGGCACTGATGGGCACAGGTAGGTGGCACTGAAAGGCAGCACTGATATATGGCACTGTTAGGCGGCACTGACTGGGCACTGAGGAGGCATAGGTAGGTGGCACTGAAAGGCAGCACTGATATATGGCACTGTTAGGTGGCACTGACGGGCACTAATAGGCGGTACTAACTGGCACTGATAGGCGACACTGGTGGAACTGATAGGTGGCACTGATTGGCATTGATAGGTGTCACTGACTGGCACTGATGGGTGACACTGAAAGGCAGCTCAGATGGGCACTGATATGTGGCATTGATGTGCACTGGTAGGCACTGATATGTGGCACTGGTGGGCACTGGCACGTGGTACTGATGAGCACTGACACAAGGCACTGATGGACACTGACAGGTGGCACTGCTGGGGCTACACTGATCATCAGTGCCCTGATGATCAGTGTACATGTCCCCTCCGCGGAATGCCGATTAGCGGCTCTCTTCTCCTCAAGAGCTGTCAGCGTGACAGCTCGAGAGGAGAGAAATGCTGGTAACCGGCATTTCCCTGTTTACATGTGATCAACTGTGATTGGACACAGCTGATCACATGACCAAGCCGACATCTTCGGCTCTTTCCATGGATCAGTGATCCGCTGTGTCCGAGGGACACAGCGCACCGCCCATCGCCGCGCTGCGTGCTTCCTGAGCCGCGCATGCGCGATGAGAATATGACGTCCTCCCAGAACGAGAGAACCACCTTGTGCCTGTCATTGGACTATATGGCGGGCGCAAGGTGGTTAAGGATAACTATTCTTTGTTAATTGAAGCAGTCCCTCCCTGGCAGCACACTGGCGACCCATACCACTGTGCTCTATGTAAGAACAGCTGTCCAGATCTCAATGGACCCAGACTGGAGCACTGTGCAGGGACCTATTGGACTTTGGAGATCCAGACCGCTGCTCTCACACAAAGCGCAGAGGTCTGGATGTCCAGTGTGCCACTGGGGGAGGTCTGTTAGGCATATGGACTGCGGAACTATTGCTGAAAAAAATACAAACAGTTAATTTTTTTATACAGCCCCACTTCATAGGATAGCTAAAAATAGGACTACAATGGGGCTTTAAGTTAAACCCCATCCCCAAGTTTTTTTTACTGCCGCACTGTTTAACCCATGGAGAGCAGCAAAGTCACTGCTGCAGGCTAAGTGTTCAATTTAGTCCCATGGAGAAGCTGTCTATTGATGGGATGAATAATAGGTAACTTCTCCAAGGTAATAAATTAGATTTCTTACACATACAGTATATGCAGAGAAAATGTGGGACAAAAAGAACATAATGCCAGTTCAGAAGAAAATAATCTTTACTGTATCAATCTGCATATTAGCTTGAATCTAATTTTACCTAAAGCTCAGATGGGGTACAAAAATAGCCATCATGCACAACACTCAGAACCTCATCTCAGATGTGCGTTGTCGTGCTGGTGGGATAATCGATGATAATGAAGATGATGTAAAAATACATGACTATATAACTAAATAATTCAACAATCTGCCTGTAAAGCAACATTAAGTACAATATATGTCAACTAAGCAGCTTCAAACGGCTGTGAAACATGTTATTTCAGTTAAACTGCGGTTGGAAATGTCCACGTGCATTTGTAATTATCAGCACACATCCTCCTGATTGTGTCTACTATACCCAGTAAGTGTCAGTGAATTGATTTTATAGCCTTCTATGATTAAGGTTCAGATCACATTAAGCCATGATAGTGTTATTCAGATATCCAGTGAAAATGGGCTGTTGGTAGTAATGTGTATGCCATGGCATCAGTGGCATTTAGTGTCTCCAACTGTGTAAAGGTGCCAGTTGGTTGTAAATCAATATGCAAGACAGAATGAATGCGCTCTTGGATTACAGGGATGATACATGGGTGCTGTATGCTCAGTAACTTAATGAACATCTTCAGTCTTGGGTTGTGCCAAACAGCTGGAGGAAAAATGAAAAGATGTAAATTATATCCAGATAGATGTTGAGGGCTCCAAAGATGTACTCTTCAGGGCTGAGTGTGAACCGTCGGCTTCCCATCAATATCTGGGTGTCGAATGCCAAGAACTGTAGAAAGGAAACAAAACTGTGATAAGCAAACCTCAAGCATATAGAATCTCTGTTCCTACTGTAAGGGCACCATTGCGGCAAATGTGATGATGTCTCGTGTCAGTGATAATGACATCAGCAAGGCTAAGCCAAGATGTCAGGAAGTATGATCAGATTTCATATGCATTAAAGCTGAATTCTGTGAAATTTTTTTTAGAAATTTACTGTGTAAAAATAAGTTACATGATGGGTGCCCTGTGTGTGAATAGTGTTGTGCTAGGTAAAGTGTTTCCTTCATCCTGGACATACTGTAAGTGGGAGACCTTTCAAGGACTTAAAGTACTTGCTTTCCTACAGTGAATGATAGTAGGTTGTTCGCTCACCACTTTATTCTCCCCTTGTCCATTCACATAACTTTATGTATTCTTTTCAAAGAATACAAGGGGTTATTGGACTAGGTTCGATTGTAATATTTATCTGCCCCCTCGTCCCTTCTCATCCATTTATAGAATGCTGTATAGTCTGAGAAAATAATACAAGGCTTTTTGTGAATGGATGAGGGAAAGCAAGGTAGGGAGTGAGCAACCCATTATTTTGCACTGTGCTAGGGCTGGAACTGTCAGATTCAGTGCTAGAAGTTTGGCATTTACAGTAGTGTCTGGGATGAATGAAACTCTGGAACCATGGCAGTGTGTTATAGCGGAAAAAGTGGTTAGTTGCACTTTATCCTTTGTGGTTACATCAGGGCTTAAAATTTCAAGTCTAGACCTACTAGCCAGGCAAAAACCTTACTCTCCACCAGTTGCCCCACCAAACCTTGCACAGGCCCGCCTCCAACCCCAGGCACGTCCCCCAACCCCAGCCCTGCCCCCAACCACACCCCCTTAAAGCTTACGAAATTACATTTTTCTTTTGAATAAAGAGTCCAAAATATAAAAAACAGCAATTATAATATAGCTTTATTATGTCAATTTAAACATAACAGCAATAGCTTAATAGAGTCTAGAGGGCAAGTGGTTAACATAAAACAATGTAAACATAAAATAAAAATAAGTGTCCCCATCAGAGTCCCCCTTTATATAAGGTTTTCCCATCAGAGTCCTCCTTTACATAAGGTGTCCCCATCAGAGTCCCCCTTTATATAAGGTTTTCCCATCAGAGTCCCCCTTTACATCAGGTGTCCCCATCAAAGCCCCCCTTTTATATAAGGTGTCCCCATCAGAGCCCCCCTTTACATCAGCTGTCCCCATAAGTGTAACCTCGCTCTTCCCCCTTGTACTCACAGATCTTCTTGTGAATGCAGGTTCTCCTTCTTTTCCTCCTTCGGTCATGTGATAAGTCACATGACAAGGGGAGAGAGGAAGGACACTCTGCCTTCACTTCTTAGTGCAGGCTGTATATTGCTCCATGCAGGCAGGAGGGAGGAGAAAGCATAGTCCTGCCTCCAGCAAGTGTCAGCAGCTGCTCCCTGTGACAGGAGTGAAACTGCGATCACTCCAGTCACTGAGGAGCGGCACCAGCAGTGCGTCCCCCCCTCAACACAGTGCTCGGGGTTAGGTTGGTGCTGCTGGTAGCACCCGCCCCCCACCCTCTAATGCGGCGCCTGGGACACACTCGCCCCCATGTTATTTTCACTTGCCAAATGCGAGCAGGCAAGTGGAGATTTCGAGCACTGGTTTACATGCATGAGTATGAAAACATTTTCAGTGTATCCTTGTGTTTTTATACAGTATATGCACTGGATTGTGTGCTCATATGTGTATATGTACTCTTTGTATTCATGCCGTCAACTTCTGTGTGAGTAGACCTTGAAAAAGCATTCATAACCCTTGAAATGTTCCACATTTTGTCCTGTTACAACCAAAAATGTAAATGTATTTTATTGGGATATATATGATAGACCAACACAAAGTGGTACATTATTGTGAAGTGGAAGGAAAATGCTAAATTGTTTTCAAAATGTTTTACAAATAAATATCTGTAAAGTGTGGAGTGCAGTTGTATTCAGCCCCCCTGAGTCAATACTTTGTAGGACCACCTTTTGCTGCAATTACAGCTGCAAGTCTTTTTGGGGCTGTCTCTACCAGCTTTGCACATCTAGAGAGTGATATTTTTGCCCATTTTTCTTTGCAAAATAGCTCAAGCTCTGTCAGATTGGATGGTGAGCGTCTGTGGACAGCAATTTTCAAGTCTTGCCACAGATTCTCAATTGGATTTAGGTCTGGACTTTGCCTGGGCCATTCTAACACATGAATATGCTTTGATCTAAACCATTCCATTGTAGCTCTGGCTGTATGTTTAGGGTTGTTGTCCTGCTGGAAGGTGAACCTCCACCCCAGTCTCAAGTCTTTTGCAGACTCTAACAGGTTTTCTTCTAAGATTACCCTGTATTTGGCTCCATCCATCTTCCCATCAACTCTGACCAGCTTCCCTGTCCCTGCTGAAGAAAGCCTTCCCCACAACATGCTGCTGCCACCACCATGTTTCACAGTGGGGATGGTGTGTACAGGGTGATGTGAAGTGTTAGTTTTCTGCCACACATAGCATTTTGCTTTTAGGCCAGAAAGTTACATTTTGGTCTCATCTGACCAGAGCACCTTCTTCCACATGTTTGCTGTGTCCCCCACATGGCTTCTCACAAAATGCAAACAGGACTTCTTATGGCTTTCTTTCAACAATGGCTTTCTTCTCGCCACTCTTCCATAAAGGCAGAAATTTATGGAGTGCACAACTAATAGTTCTCCTATGGACAGATTCTCCCACTTGAGCTGTGGATCTCCCGCAGCTCCTCCAGAGTTACCATGAGCCTCTTGGCTACTTCTCTGATTAATGCTCTCTTTGCCTGGTCTGTCAGTTTACGTGGACGACCATGTCTTGGTATGTTTGCAGTTGTGCCATACTTGTTCCATTTTCAGATGATGGATTGAACAGTGCTCCATGAGATTTTGAAGCTTGAGATTTTTTTTTATATACCTAACCCTGCTTTAAACTTCTCCACAACTTTATCCCTGACCTGTCTGGTGTGTTCCTTGGCCTTCATGATGCTGTTTGTTCACTAATGTTCTCTAACAAACCTCTGAGGGCTTCACAGAACAGCTGGATTTATACTGAGATTACATTACACACAGGTGGACTCTATTTACCAATTAGTTGACTTCTGAAGGCAATTGGTTACACTAGATTTGTTAGGGGTATCAGAGTAAAGGGGGCTTTACAACTGCACTTCACACTTTTCAGATATTTATTTGTAAAACATTTTGAAAACAATTTAGCATTTTCCTTCCACTTCACAATTATGTGCCACTTTGTGTTGGTCTATCATATAAAATCTCAATAAACTACATTTATGTTTTTAGTTGTAACTTGACAAAATATGGAAATGTTACAGGGTATGAATACTTTTTCAAGGCACTGTATATTGTAAGTCTGAGAATTTTTGTAGGTTTTTTTTGTTACATATCATCCCATATGTAAATGTATTCTGTACAACACAGAAAACAAACTTGCACTTACCAGGGTAAATACAATGGCTCCTAGTGCTGCATAGACTGCATGAAGCCATGGCACCTGGAGAGACAATCAAGAATACACTCAGTTAGTTATTTGTTTGTTTTGTGATATTTTTGATTCTTTATGGTTGCTTTCATTACAGATATTCACTAAGGTACAATAAAGGATGGATTTGTGGAAGGGCCACTCCACGACCCAGAGTGGCAAGATTAAAGTGTATGTACACCCTATCAATAAACTTTCCCTGTTTGTTCCCTTTTCGTCTGTCAAATATAATAAAGTGTCCCTGTGGTTAAGCTCTTAGTGGGGTAAATTGCGTTGGAGTGGGAGGTGAACAGACTATAAGCTGTGAGATCTCTACCATATTAAAGCTAATTTTACATTAGTGAAGGCATCAGCATGTGGCCTATTCATTTTTCCATATCAAGGTGTTTTGTTATACCTGTTTGATAAGTGCATAAAAAATACCTGTTGATCCTACCAGAAATCCAGTGAGCTCATAACTGCTTGTTCACTGGGCCCCTACTGCACGGAAATTTCAAGCAGTGTTATCAGCCCTGTCTAGTTCACATCTGTGAACCACATAAGAACTTCCACCTTTGTTATGCAGATGAGGAGCAGAGGAGATATTCTGTGGTCGAAAACAGGAGTGAGTAGCCAAGAATGACAACGCTTTACCTCCTTCTCCATAGATTCAGTATATTGAATGAGCGTTGTAGGACAGAAATGTGTTATTGACAGGATCATTAGGTGAAAATAGAGAAATAGACAAAAAAAATTAAATCTACTGTAGCCACCACATATAAGGAATGTTAATTCATAGTGAGAGCTGTGAAAATGTGGAATAGACTCCCTCAAGAGTTGGTTCTGGCCAGCTCAGTAGATTGCTTTAAAAAAGGCCTGGATTGTTTCTTAGATACACAGAAAATAACTGGATACTAACATTTATAGGTAAAGTTGATCCAGGAAATATCACATTACCTCTCTGGGGATCAGAACGGAATTATTTTCCCTGCAAGAGCAAATTGCATCATGCTTTGCTGTGTTTTTTTTTTTTTTTTTTTTTTTTGCCTTCCTCTGGATCAACTGTGGGTATAGGATTATAACTTTTTTTTTTTCTTTAATGGTTGAACTGGATGGACGTTTGTCTTTTTCAGCCAGACTAACTATGTAACTCTGTAAGCTGCCATATATTATATTTTTGTTCATGTGTTTGGATGCATTTGCGCCACCCAATGCTAGTTGAGATAAGCAAATTAAAGAACTGTCATAAGCATGTGCCAGGCTGTAGTTGTTTGAAAATGATTTGCCCCACTTGGTGAAGACAGACCTTACATTTTTAATCAACCCTGACACTACAGAGTTTCCCCCTTTTCCCTCGATCTGCATAGCGTCACCAGGGTCCTGGCAAGTGCTGAGGAAGCCTTGCACATTCTGCAAACACCGCTAATGCAGATCTTGCCTAGCCTCTGCCAGGACTTTAGCTGACGGCAGGGTGGTGAACATCTATGTGCATCTCAAAAGTGTCGGAAGTGTTGCATGCAAATCAATTTCAAACAAATACAACCTAACATATGTGTATATGAGTACTTTAACTAAAGATGTTTATCCTAATAGGATGGAGACATGGTCTTCTTAAGGGCGCAGCAGGCTACCCCTTATTCTTATTATGTAGGTCTTCAGAGAAAATAATTTTAGGAAATTAACATTTCATTAGACATATTGTACTATTCATGTATTATCTAAATTTCAGGGTATTAAAATGTTAACAAAAGGATCTGTAGTTATGGGGGGGGGGGGGGGGGGGGGTGATCCAAGTTGCCCATTAAGGTGCATAATCTGTTCCTGGGTATATAGTAGACAGTAAATAGCAGTATGGTCCTAAAATATTAAACAATATGAGTACTTACATATTGAAAAGGGATTAGGATGACAAGGAAGAGGCCACTGAAGAGAAGAACCATAACAAGCACAAAGAGAACACCATGACAAGACGTGAAATCCACCTATAAAATCAGAAGAAATACACTGTACAGCCACTGGTGTAGGAGCAGGAGGTCAAAGCAGTTGCAACTGGGATTAGACCCTGGTACACGAGAGGCAATCATCCATTTACAGGGAGCCCAGTGGGCACAAAATACAAATGTAACCACATGCCTTTCTCTGTGTGTGGTCTAGTGCCATTATAGATCACATAACCAAATCCATGGGGCACATGGTGAAGCATCCTTTCTCTAGAGTCCTACCTTTATAGCTTTGCCCCTGCCTGCAATTAGAGGCATACTTCTAGCTAAAAGCATAGGGCTTTGTTGCAAAAAAATGTCTGGTGCCGTCTCTTATAGTTTTTCTTAGTTTTTATTTTTTTTTTTAAATAAAAATATTTGTAAACATTTACATTTGCAGACATAAGGCACATCCATTTCCCAAAAAAAACTGAAAACCCCAAAGCTTTTTTAAAAGATTCAGGATTAGATACATAAAACCATAAATGCATTTATTAATACAAATTCATTTTTAAATATAACTTGTATAAATGTATGACTTTGACTTGATTTTAGCTTCTTGTAATACTTTATATTATTATTATACAGGATTTATATAGCGCCAACAGTTTGCTCAGCACTTTACAATATAACGGGAGACAATACAGCAACAATACAGTTCAATACAAGAGGGATTTGAGGGCCCTGCTCCTTGGAGCTTACAATCTAAGAGGGAGGGTATATATAGAGGCATTTAGATTGGGAAAGGTCCAGCCATGTGTTTATATACTTTCATCTGAGTTGGCAAGGAACTTACTAACTGGAGAGAGCAGAAAGATGTCCCCATAGGCCTGTTGCTGTTCCTTTGCTGTCCAATCACAGGCTAAGGGTGATCGGGGACTAGGAGTTTCTCCCATTCAGCAAGTTATTAAAAAGAGGACATGCAACTGGGAGCTATTTTTCAATATGGAGAAAACAGCTGAGCCCAGATGTACAAAGCAGAAGAGAGAAGAGACAAAATAGCAGTGCAGCGAAATGAAAATTCTGGTGCCGAAACTGAAACTGAAAATTCAAAATGCATTTGGCCGAAAACCAAAACCGAAATGCGCAGTTTTTAAAAATGAATATATATTTTTTTGTAAAAAAATACACTTTGATTAAAAAAAAAAACAAATATACCCCAATTGTTCTATAAAATATGTAAGAGGATGTTGCGGCAAGGTAATAGATACCCAACATGTCACGCTTTAAAATTTTGCACGTGGAATGGCATGAAACTGCGATATTTAAAAATCTCCACGGGTGATGCTTTAAAAATGTCTACAGGTTAGCAGTGTAAAGTTACAAAGGAGGTCTAGTGCGACAATTATTGTTCTTACTCCGACGTTCATGGCGATACCTCACAAGTGTGGTTTGAACACCATTTACATATGTGGGCATGGCCTACATATGTGTTCACCACTACGTGCGGACAGGGGATGGAGCACTTTAAACTTTTTTTTTAATTTATTTCATGTTTTTTTTTTTGTTTTGTGCACTGTTCCTTTTAAAAAAAAATGCAATCACTTTTATTCTTATCACAAGGAATGCATGCATCCCTTGTGATAGGAATAATTAGTGACAGGTCCTCTTTATGGAGAGATATGGGGTCAATAAGACCTCACATCTCTCCTCTGCACTGTAAAGCATTAGATCAAAAAAAGCATTGATCTAGTTCTTTTAAAAAAAAAAGAAAAACACAGAAATAGAAGTGACATTGTTCCGGTCTTCCAAGGGCATAGAGATGTGTGGCGGCCATCTTTCCTTCACCCATCTCTATGCCCAATGCCAGGATCGATGGTTTCTCAGGTAAGACTGAACTACCGAGCGGCGATCGGTGAGCGGGCAGGCGATGGTGGCTGGGCAGTGGCGGTGGGCGTTTTTTTTTTTTTCGGCACCTGTATCAGTGTTTTTTTTTCATTTTGGCCAACAGCCGAAAGGGGTGTTTTTGGCTGACATCTTTTGGCCACCAGAATTTCGGTGCATCCCTAGTCAAAAAGGACCTTTTTGGAGAAACAGGGGGTAACAACATATTTAAATAAGAAATGGAGAGCACTATGGCACTAGGAAAGGACATTCCTTGCAACTCAGATTGCATTTCTCCTGACTGGAGTCCAGCTTCAATGCCATTTTTATAGGTTTGTCCTCGGAATTCCCTTTAGATCAGGGGTGCTCAACCTTTTAAACAGCAAGGGCCACTTAAGTGATTTGGTAACCAGTCATGTGCCCCAATGAAACAGAACGGTTCATAATTTTGAATTCTTTATTTTGAATAGCATAATGAACATTCTACTCCTGCAGGTGCTGAATTCCGGCAGAAGGGAGAGGAGGAGAAGCCGGTATTCAGGAGTTTTGGTATGCTTTTATAAAGCGCAAAAAACAGAGAATACAATAGAAATCTATGGCTCAGTGCAGCTAACCCGCAGGAAAGTCGCAGGTGCACTGTGCTGCACCCATGGATCAGTGTGAAAGCAGCCTAATAGTTCATAACCCTTTTTTAGGTACTAATGTGTCCATTGCAAAAGCGTTGTGTATATACTGTTTAACAAACTGACCTTCTTTTTCTCTTCCAGATTCTGCTGGCCTCGCTCTTCAGGCTGCTAGAAAGGTCCCAAGCTAAAAGCACTTGATATCACTCCAGCTGGGATAGGAGTTGGCACTACAGAGGAAGCACCGGCTTATGCGACTCCTGTTCCCTCAGTGGCCACCTGCTTCCTCCACTGTGGGCACCGACTCGATGCATTCTGATGCTCTTGGATGATGGGTTGGCAAACCAAATCGTAATCAGCAGTTTACCAACCCTGGACATGCCCTTCCCTAGTTTGAGGTCGCGGACCACATCAGAGGGCTCCATGAGCCACATGTGGACAATGGGTTCAGCATCCCTTCTTTAGATGTGAGGATGTAGTTGTGGACACCCCTTACTATGTAATGACATGCGACTTTAGAGAGAAGGTGTTTTAGCATGGAAGAAGCTCTGTACTTTGACTAAGTGACTGTGCCTGCTTTAGGTGATTGCCAAGAAAGAGAAGGCACATCGTGTGTGAGTGTTCAGCAAAGGGGAATGGACAAACCTAAATGCGTTGTGTGCTTGTTCAAGATTTTAAGACAGCCAGTCTCAACCAAGGTTCAGTGGACCTCCAACATTCCTCCAGATGTTGCTAGGGGTTCTTTGCACAATGAGCAGTGGCCAATTGATTTCCCACCTACATTAACCATCAGTGCTAGGGAGCAAATGTCCACTGATCATCAATGTAAGGGGTCACTTCTATACCATTTAGACCATTTTAGGATCTAAAGGAAGACCATTAGTGTAATGAGTATTTGGGGTCTCAAGCAGCAGTGTTTTAGCTGCACTAGGTAACAGATGACTGAATTCCTCCAAATGGTGCCAACTACCCCTCACATACACACCAGCAGAACAATGCCATTCATTCTAATACAGAAGTCATGGCAGCACATAGAGACTCTTTTCAAGATTATCTCCGGTGATCAAGCACTGTAGTTTATTTTTCATAGATAATGCAGAAAGCTATGTAATAAAGGAAGCTACTTCCATGTGATTTTTTTGCCTGACTTACTAGCTAATCTTATTTTATGCTCCAGCATTTAGTAACTAAAGGAATTAGTTTAGGTGAAGGTTATATAACATAATTTGTATTAAAAAATCTGTTTTCTCCATGTTCAGCAGACCAGCCTGATGTCCCTCTCGATACTATGGGAATAAGGTTTCTGCTGATTGACATGGCTCAGTGAAATCCTTTAGGGCTCAGCCACGCTTGGCCATTCTTGTGCATAGAAGCAGACTACAACTGTCCATGATTCAAACTTTGATAGCGTATCAAACTCAATAGAAAAATGAACTCAATAAAGTATATCTATAGCCATAATATTTTTTAGTTTGTTGTAGCATAGGGATTGATTATGACAATGGAGACACAACAGGAATGGAAGCAAATTCAGGAGGCGCAGATGCAACACTCCCCTAATCCTCGTCTCCTGGACCCCATCAGTTCATTAGAGGGGCCCAGGAGACGAGGAGCAGAGAATAATGGGGAGTGGTCGGGGGACGATAAAAGTGTGGCTCAGCTGCACATTTTAATGTCCCTCAAAAACAAGTGTAAATAAGAACTAACAGGAAGTATCTCATTGAGAATGTGTAAATCTGACCGTCTGACTGTCAGGTGGAAATGATCAATTAGCTGTGCAGCCTCCAGATCACACCCAATGTGCCTTGCCATGCTTCCTAGGCTTCACGGTCCCATCAGTGAACTTGAGATCAGCATTGTGGGTGCCACCGGGTAGAAGGGAGGGAGATCAGCAAACACCTGTTCACTGATCTCCCCTTCCTGTTAATGACCCGGAAGCAACGTTTAAAACGTCACTCCTGGGTCCTCTCCCCTGACAGGATTGGATGAAGTTAACTAGTGACAAAGACGTCTTCTGCAAACTTCAGCCAATCTGTTAAGAAGAGGTACCCAGCCAATGCTGCGAGCAACATCACTTCCTCCTAACTGTCCACATGGAGCTAACGTTGGCAAGCTGGCGAGATAGCATCCCTGCACAGGCTAAAAATTTAGAAGTTTTATTTTTTTGGAGAGGGGGGGGGGGTGTGCAGCTAAGGCGCAAAATAGACTAGCATTGGCCCTGCCTGTCTATCTGCAGTCTTCTCTTCTCTACACCCATTTAAATTGCTTAATTTTAAAGCTTGTCTGAGAGCTCAGAGGAAAGTGTGGGAGAGATGAAATTACACACTGCAGTGTTTAATGAGAGCTGATTGGAGGTAGGAAAGAGACACCCCCCCCTCCACACACAGCTCACAGGAACAGAGCTGAGGCTGTCAATCCGTTGGAGGTCCTTCCTCCAGGGCCATGGATAAGGGGGTATTACCAGTCCTCCTGTAAGGGGCACAGGCCAGCAGGGGGGCCCAGGTAACTAGGTAAAGTGGATGTGGGCAGGGAGAGCGATCAGCACAGCATGGTGAGGGGGTAATTGCTGGAACCAATCCCCTGTATGGCTCTTTCTACAGCACCTTCGTCTCTCCCTCCCGCTGCCTTTCAGCTGCTTTAGAGAGTGCCATACAGGGGGTCGGTTCCAGTAACTGCCCACCCCCCCATCCCCCGCCGCACCCATAACCCTCCCTGTGCACCATACGTTTCCCCCTGCTGCCCAAACCCTCCTGCGTGCTCCTACCCCGCAGTGCTACCGGCTTGCCTACTCTCCTTCCCACTGACAGCTGAAAGCACACAATAGGATCCTTTAGGATGAAGAGTGGGAGAATGGTCTGGTAAATATGCCACATTTATAACCCCCTTCCTTTCCTAAATGAACACAATGAGTGATCGGTACCAATCAATCACTCATTGTGTTCATCACTGAAGCATGGTAAACATAGTTTATTTTTTTTTGGGGGGGGGGGGGGGGGGGGGCTGTCAGGTTGGCTGTATGGGTGGGTTCTAACAGCAGCCTTTCCTTCCCTTGTCACCTTTTTTCTCTTGGTGTCAGAAAAATGTGTCAGAAGTGATTCATGCTGAAAGCAGAGGAATGAAGCAGCAGACAGAAGTGACACTTGGCACTCTTAATTGAGACAAGTACACTCCATAGAGGGGTATACATTCTTCAAATTTCATGTCTGAGGTTTACAACCACTTTAATACACACTAGGCAGTTTCCAATCCCCAGCTTTACCAGTAGCCTTGCTATTGATGTTTATTTGATTTTTATGATCTCTTACCTTGGTTTGGAAGCTGAATAAAGTGACGGAAATGCAGACAAGTGCAGTAATTCCAAGACATAGGATCACAGATGTGGTATTATAATAGCTGAGAAGACAAGGGACACACAATGAGGAAGGTGTCATTTGTAAGCACATTAGTCTAGTCCCAACTAAATGATGGCGGGTAAATCCCATTCAGGCAGCTCTGGCTATCCTATCATGTGATTTCAGTTTATCATATGAAACAATATATGTGTTGAAAACATTATAACTGAGAGCAAATGGCTGTGATATATTGGTGAGGTTCAAAGAGGAAATTATTTAAACACTACATTGTACACAATCCTTTTCTTTTAGTTGGTTTTACATTTGTGAAACAAAATGATTTTAAATGAACACATTATTTTCCAATGGATACACTAGTTCTGGAGACCCGGAGGGCCCTAAGGATTTCCCTTAACCACTTCCCCTCCAGAGGATTTACCCCCCTTCCTGGCCAGGCCATTTTTTGCTATACGGCGCTGTGTCACTTTAACTGACAATTGCGCGGTCATGCAATGCTGTACATACATTAAATTTATGTCCTTTTTTTCCCCACAAATAGTGCTTTCTTTCAGTGATATTTGATCACCGCTGTGTTTTTTATTTTTTGCGCTATAAACAAAAAAAAAAAACACAATTTTGAAAAAAAATATTTTTTTTTACTTTTTTGCTATTAAACATGTCCAAAAAATTTTTTTTTTTTAAAATGTAGTTTGCTACATTTCTTTACTAAAAAAAATCCCAATATGTGTAAATTAATTGGCTTACTTGAAAGTTATAGTGTCTACAAATGGCGGTATAGAAACTGGAATTATTTTTTTTTTTTATACTTAGTAAAAAATCCCAATACGTGTAAATTCATTGGTTTACATGAAAGCTATAGCATTTACAAATGGCGTTACATATACTGGAATTATTTTATTTTTTTTTACTAGTAATAGCGGCAATCAGCGACTTATAGTGGGACTGCGGTGGGCATTCCGGCACTGGCTGGGAACTAACTAACTGGCTCTGACATCCCCAGTGACACTAATACAATGATCAGTGCTAATAAAAAGCACTGACACTGTACTAATGGCATTGGGCAGGAAGGGGTTAACTTTTGGGCGATCAAAGGGTTAACTGTGTGTGTTTTACTGTGTGTGCTGTTTTACTAGGGAGGCATGCTGCTTTGTATTTCTCTGCTGTGCAGAGAAATACAAAGCAGCATGTCCTTGCTGGCAGGTCTCTCCCCTGTCAGCTTTGTACAGCAATCGCCAGGACCCAGTGATTGACATGCCTAGCCACCAATGGCGGCAAGGGTAGGGTGGCACACGCACACCCTACCTGGAAATGCAAATCACGTATATATACGTAATTTTGTGCAGCCCTGCCACCGTGTAGCAGTAGTTCTACCATAGGGCGGGAAAGCGGTTAATTTGCAGGTATTTTCTCTCACTTCCTGTTTGCCTATGGAACAGTGAAGGTACATCTCCCCAATGGGACACACATGGCAAAACATAAACTGAGAGGGGTTATAACCCTCCATTACTCTATCCAGTTGTACTTTAAAAAATATTGATACCTAAAAACTCCTGCTCTTGTTTTTTTTATAAGGTTCTACAGTTTTTTGGGGATGTTGGTACAGTAGATACTAGTGTTGCACCGAAATGAAAATTCTGGACTGAAACTGAATATTCCGGATGCATTTGGCCAAAAACCAGAACTGAAATGGACAGTTTTAAAAACTTTTTTTATATATAATGTTATTATTTTCAACATTTTAAATAATATCATGAATTTAAATGAATATGAATTTATTTCCACCACCTTTTTCGGCCAATAGGTTGCTTTCACACACAGTTTTTGAAGCGCTTTTGCCTTAAAAAGCGCAAGAAAAGAAAAAAGCATCCCTTTTAAATTCAATGTATGTCCATACTGGTCCATTGCGCTTCCCTCGCTGTGTTGAAAATCCTGCTTGCCACATTTTTGGTGCATATTTAGTCAGTTAAAAAAAAACAAAAGCACCTGCCCCTTCAACATATTAAAAATGCATAAAAAATGCACACATGTTGTGTTTTGATGCGGTTTTTGAGTCACAGGACCTATGAAAAACGTACCCTAAATGTGGTAAAAACTGCGGGTCCTGGGATTTTTGCTCACCGTTCTTGTGATCATTTTGACCCCACGGGGTAAGATCTTGGGTGGAGCCCCAGATCGAGGGAGATTATCAGTGGTCTTGTATGTCTTCCATTTTCTAATTATTTCTCCCACAGTTGATTTGTTCACACCAAGCTGCTTGCCTATTGCAGATTCACTCTTCCCAGCCTGGTGCAGGTCTACAATTTTGTTTCTGGTGTCCTTCGACAGTTCTTTGGTCTTCACCATAGTGGAGTTTGGAGTGTGACTGTTTGAGGTTGTGGACAGGTGTCTTTTATACTGATAACAAGTTCAAACAGGTGCCATTGATACAGGTAATGAGTGCAGGCCAGAGGAGCCTCTTAAAGAAGAAGGTACAGGTCTGTGAGAGCCAGAAATCTTGCTTGTTTGTAGGTGACCAAATACTTATTTTCCACCATAATTTGCAAATAAATTCTTTCTAAATCAGCCAATGTGATTGTCTGGATTTTTTTTCTCATTTTGTCTCTCATAGTTGAGGTCTACCTATGATGCCAATTACAGGCCTCTCTCATCTTTTTAAGTGGGAGAACTTGCACAATTGGTGGCTGACTAAATACTTTTTTGCCCCACTGTATCAGTGCATTCCTAGTAGATACAGTAGATATAGATATAGTTGATGGATAAGCTCCATATACCATCATTTATCTTCTCATTTTATGATGACGTAGAAGGTAAGGGACACGCAGTCATTTTTAAGCACATTAGTCTTCTGTACAATTACATAATGGCAAGTCTGGATTGGATTATTCATAGGCAGTGGTAATATGGTGATGGGAAATTTGTACGCAAGGCGTTATTTTCAGCATGAACTCCAATGGAGCAGTGCACACTGAAATAGCTGGGCAGTAACTTCTGACATCTTTGACCCCAATATCTCCCATAAATCAGGTACGATAAGTGTGTGCAGATATTGCATGTAATCTTCTGTAAGTGTGAATATTTGGTAGAGCTGGTATTTACTAATTCCCATTAATGTTGCTCTTTGTGTAAAAGCTGTGGTCCTGTTTGGTTTGGTCTGATGGGTTATGTTGCAAGTTCTTGTACGCTGTATTAATGCTTACGAGTTCCGCCATATACATGAGTACAGAAGCACACAGCCATTCAGGTTAATGACTGTATGCTGCACTTGGCCTGCCTGAGTGGAGGGGAGGGATACACTGGGTATTACCCTGAACAGGCTCAGTACCCCACATACAAAAGTCAAAAGGAAGCAGTTGATGTCAGCATGCAGGCATAGTGGGGGTATGTGCACATATGTGTGTCTATGTTTAGTGCACATATGTGTGTCTATGTTTAGTGTACATGGGTTAGGGATGAGTACACTTTATGTGGATCTGTAACCTATATTGTTCTGTGGAAATCCCTCTGTTTTAAATATATATATATATAATTATGGGATTTGAACATTGGTCAAGGGATCTTTTAGTTATTCTCATGAAATTGGTTTTATAATATTAAAGGTTTAAAGATTTTTTCTGAACCATATACGGGTTCACCAAATGTGAAGGAATCTCACGTTGGTGAGCAGAGGATGACAGGGAAGGATGAAGCATCATAAGGGTAATTAACATATGGGAGAAGAGGGGAGGGATCTGGTGTTGTATAAAAAGCGGCTGATGACTAGAAGTGATTTCTTGAGAACGCCCTGTGGGAGAGGCGAAACGCGTCAACGCACTTCCGGTCTGCCATCCTTACACCCTGCGTCACTTCCGGTGAGTGGAACGCACGCTGTGCCATCTTTGTTGTTGGAGCTGTGTGCTGTTATCCTCTGCAAACCAACAGGCTGTGAGGTCTCTGTATTGAATTGTGGTCTTGCGGATCTGTGTGAGCCAATGGAAGCAATAAATCAATGCTTTTAACTATCTTTTAACATGTGAGTGGCCTGGTATTATTTAATACTGCATATGGTATTAGCAATATCACACTGTGGTATTTTTATTTTATGCACCACTGTGGAGCTCTTATTAGGATTAAGTGGAAGGATTACATCAAGCCAGACAAGGTGAAAGGAGTTCTGGAAGATATAGAGGGGGTGTAGGATCCCTAAAATCCTAAAAGGCGCAATACTCACTAATGTCTGGTGAGTGCGGTTGATGTTGATTTTACACTGGTGAATGGTGGAAGCACATTTCTTTGGGAGAAGATTATTTTGAATGTATTTTCTGGGAAGAGAGATCTTTTTTATATATTTTTTTCTGCACGTAATTTATATATTTTCTTGGACACTATTACAATATTTTTGATATTTTTCAGTCTCGATTTATTATATTTTTATCATTTTTTGATTTATATAATACTTTTGTTTATTGATGTTATTCATATGGTGAGGAGGTGTTTGATTTGCGCTGTTTATATATATTTTTTTTTCTAGTATATAAGCATAGCTCCCAACGTCTGTTATTTAGAGGGACTGTCCTTCTTTAGCAACCCAACTCTTTCCTTCTCAGTTGGCCTTATTTTTTGTTTCATAGATAGTCTCCTATTTAAAAAATGTACTATTTAAAGCAGAACTAAATTCACCTATCCTTGTCCCTTGCCAGCAGTGACATCTTTACACAGTCTTCTCCTGGGTTCAGGATCTTAGACCATCTTGAATGTTTGGGCCAGAACGGCATACCTGTGGCACACATATGTTCCGGCACCGAGTTGTGTCCAGAATTTACATTGAGGTGTGCATGCACAGCTCATCATACATTCTAAAGAAGATTGTGAACAGGTATGTAAGTTTGTTTTATTACAAAATTGGCATAGTTTGTCGCTTCTGCAATAAAGAGCCCGTCTGTTTTTAAAGTTTTGAAGTCCACTTGTGGTTTAATTGTTATACTGCACCAACCCTTCATCCAGCCTCTAAATTATTGCATTTGTTATTTTGAAAAGCCAGTATAAAGGGAATGTAGTGGTGAAAAAGGCACTTGTGGGTTTGATTAGTCATTTTTGGCATAATTCTCTGTGGTCTACATCAGGGCTTGAAAAAGCCGCTTGCACGCTCGCCAAATGCGAGGGGAAATCCTTGTGTGGCGAGCAGTCGCGTCCCGAGGCAGGTGCGGGGGTGCGGTCCGCACACGGCCACTCCCAGTACGATGTGAATGGACAGTGGCCCTTTCTCACTGAGCTCGCCCCACCCCGCCCTGCTGTCAGAGGGGAGAGGAGGGGAAGGTACAGCTCACCGTCGCCTCCAGGACAGCCTGCGCTAGCAGTGAAGCCCTTGGTGTGCCTTGGTAGGGAGTAGAGGAGCCCGCACTTCTTCCGGGAGTGCCAGGGACCCGCCCCCTCCCCACTGATCCCTCCATCTATTTACCTGCTGCTAATCCGGAGCCCTCATCACCACACACAGCGACATGTCTGAGCTCCAGAGGAGAGGCCCGGGGGAGCCTTAGCACGACAACAGCAGTGACAGGGTGTCAGCAGACAGGGCATGGGATTGGGGGCAGGTCACCTGCCTGCATGGAGTGTCCTGGGCCTGACTTAGTGCAGGTGAGAGGGGCCCTGACAGGGGCGCTGCCTTCATCTCTGTGGGGTAACTCTTGGCTTCTGTGGTCTGGCCTCACAGCATACATTGATTTCCACACTGGAATTCAGCCATTCCAACTCTGCTCCTATTATTCTGAAGTTTGCAAACTGATTTTGCAAAGATCTCCACACATTTAGGGTAGGTTCACACTATCTCATTGCTCTGAAAAGTGATCCATGGTGGATTGCTTTTCAGAGTGTGGCTAAGCTGCCCCTGTCAGAGGTTCAAGTGATTTTAAATGCAATTTTATTTTGAATAAGAAAAAAAAACAAACATGTCTATACTTACCTGCTGTGTGCAGTGGTTTTGCACAGAGCAGCCCCGATCCTCCTCTTCTTGGGTCCCCCGCCTGCGCTCCTGGCCCCTCCCTCCTCTGACTGTCCCCAGAGCAAGCAGCTTGCTATGGGGCACACAAGCCGCTGCTCTGCATATCAATTCACATGCAGAGCCGCAGCTCGTCACCGCCCCTCTCTCTCCTTATTGGCTGTAATTGCACCCTATTGCTATTAAGCTATTGCTGATATGTTTAAATTGACATAATAAAGCTATGTTATAATTGCAGTTTTTTTATATTTTGGCCTCTTTATTCTAAAGAAAAATGTAATTTCATAAGCTTTAAGGGGGTGTGGTTGGGGCAGGGCTGGGGGTAAGGTTGGGGGACAGGGTAGGGGTGGAGGCGGACCTGGGCAAGGTTGGGTGGGGCAACTGGTGGAGAGTAAGATTTGTGCCTGGCTAGTAGGTCTAGACTCGAAATTGTAAGCCCTGGTCTACATAATTGAAAGTGTGGCAAGGGTGTGCCATTTGCCTACATAGTTTGTGCTAAATGCTGTCCCTCTTTCTTTAGTCACAAAGCTGGGGTGGTCAATATAAAATTGTTAGACAGTATCTTCTTACCTGGAGAGCATTCCAGTAACATATGACATGGAAAGTGTCTAGAGAAATAAAAAAAAAATCATCATGTAAGATGACATAATACAATATTGGATCGAGAATGTATTGGGTTTGGTTGATTTATTATAGACTGTGCAGTTTGCAAAATGCAGTTGCACAATGCAGGAGCAGTTACTCCAGAGCTTAGTAAATGAGCAGAAGCTCTGATAACTTCAATCATCCACTGTGCAAGCAAAAATGCTTTTTTTATTGCTTGTGATTGGGTATTCTTTGCAAAGTGAAGCTTTACCTCATTTACTAAGCTTTGGATCAACTGCACTTTGCAATGTGGGAAGTCTATTTGTCTTTAGTATATCAACCCCATTGTATTGCTTAAGACTGAGTGATGGGTTTTGTCTACAGCAGCAACAGACAAGCCTTGGATAATTTACCTATGCTACTCTAATAAAATGAAACCTTTGTAAGCTACAAGCAAAACCATGTAGTCCAAGTTTGACAATGATGATTGGTTCAGTGCTGCACTTGGAATGAGTCACATGTTCCACCATAGCTGGAAGTATCAAGTATTTCCCTTGTCTCCCAACGCTGGCTGATAATGCCATGTTCAATCTTGAGAGCCCATGTACATGTGGTGTTTGATTTTTACATAGGATCTCGTCAACAGCAGGATCCTACATAAAATATTGTCCATACACTGTACACAGCTGTGTATTTACCATGAGGCAAACAAGGCGTTTGCCTAGGGCAGCAATGTTTAGGAGGGCAGCACGGAAGAAGGGACCTGGTGAACAGCGACGGACCTGGTGAGTCACGCAGGGCTGCCATCTGAGGGGTACCATCGGTACTCCTGTAGATGGCCCAGACAGAAGGAAGATCGGTGTGGTGGGGGAGAGCAGTTGCAGAACGATACCCTGTGTATCTTTCCATCAAGAAGCTGAAAGCCAGTTTCTCCCCCTCTCCCTCCCGCCAGCTTTCTGCTGCTGGAGGGAGAGACAAACTTGGCAGGATTGAGGGTGTGCCCTGGTTTTCCTGATTGGCTGCTGAGCTCCTTCCCCCACCCGCACTCAGAGCTGGGACCAGGGGAAAGCCTGGAGCAGGGATAGGAGAAGTGGGGGAGAGGAAAGAGTCAGGAGGAGGTGAGCTGTGTTGTGTTCTCTGGGCTCTCCCTCCTGTCGTCCATGCAGCACATGAGACATGATCACTGATAGATCGTATGGGACTACACACACACTATGATTACCACCACCTACCCACATTTCCTACTGCCTGGAGATGAGCAGCCCTTGGAGGAGGTAGGGGCAGTAATCATACTGTGTGTGACAGCCCAAATACGATCTATCTATGTGCTGCGTTGACGACAGGAGAGAGAGCCCAGAGAATACAACACAAATCACCTCTTCCTGGCTCTTTCCTTTCCACTTTTTCTAGTTAGTGTAATGTGGATTTGGGGAAGGGGGGTGGTATTTGCTAGGGGGAGTGGGGGGAATATGTGCTAGTAGGAGAGAGAGAGAGAGGGGGGGGGGGGGGGGGGGGGAGAGAGAGGGGGGGAGAGAGAGAGGGTGGAGAGAGGAGGGTGGGAGGGAAAGAGGGAGGGGGGTTGAGATAGAGAGAAAATCATATATACACACACTCATTGAACTCTCTTGCTCTCTCATTGGGGGGGGGGGGGGGCACAATTTTTGTGTTGCCTAGGGCAGCACAAAATCTAAATACACCACTAACTGTACACATCACATTTGTGTTAATGTTTACACCAGGGGTAGGCAACTTAAGATAGGCGGAGACCTACCTGAACAACATGGGAGAAGTCAAAGAACAAAGAGTACTTCTGTGTCACATTCACGTGCATTGCCCAGCAATCATGGGTTTGAATCAGGTGGTTAGGAGGAAACATATCGCATCCTCACCATGTGTCAAACACACACTTGGATCGCTTTTCAGAGGAGCAGAACTGCCTGCTGCACTTGTGAATGAGCCCTTGCATTTTGGACATTTGAGTTGCGTTTCTTTTTTTTACAGAGAAGGCATTGGCTTATGCAGCACTTGCTCCCTACTACAGCTCCAACTTTACAAGTAGTCCCTCTACCTTGCACTCCATTTGATGCTCTGGGATGGTGGGTCAGCAAGCACAGACCAAGATCTACCAGTCACCCGGCCGCGATCTACTGGTTGCTGATCCCCAGTTTACATGCATATAGTGTATACTCTACTGGCACTATTGATAGGATGTGGGTGGCTCCTGCTGTCTGGTGTCCCTCACTGCTAAGAGGAAGGTCACTCTAATAGAGTACATTTGCCTTGAAAAATAAATTCCATATGCAGAACTGTGGATGCAGATTTTTCATAGTTTTTTTTTACGCAGCTGAACACAGCTCTAGATTATGGAGCTTTGCACACCTGTGCACATGAACCCATAGAATACAATGCTGCTGTGTTCAACTCAGTAGAAATTAAAGATGTGAACGCAGCAGGGGCGGCCTGACCATTTTGAAACTTGGGCACTGCCCGAGGGCCCGGGGTCAGTAGGGGGGCCCCATGAGATGCCCCTGGTACCTTTTTCATAGGCTTTTTTGAGTTTGGCCAAGGACACAGCGGCCCCATGATCCCCTATTGCCCGGGGGCCCCATGAGTTGTCAGCCCGCCCTGGAACGCAGTGTATTGTACGACCACCACAACCAGTGTTTGTGTACCCCACTGACTTGACAACAGTTCGCAGCTTCAGCCATGGCTCTAAAACAAAAAACACTTATCTCAAGACTTTATGAGGTCAATTCACTAAAGTTTACCGCATGCAATAACACTGTCACATAACTCATTTGCATAAATGATTGCATGCAGTAACAATATGTCCAATTCACAAAAAAAAAAAAAAAGAAATAATTCTGTGGTATTTAATGCAAAATTTAAAATGTGTTGGTAAGTACCGTAAAAAAACACGAAAACATGCAGTAAGCTGTTAAGTCCAATTCACAAACACAACAGAAAGTTAAAAAAGATGCAATATTTATCACCAGGGTTTTTCTGGCGGTATCGCATGCAGTATTTTTTCAGATGCAGCGAGGGGGTCACCCTCAACCCCTAGGGGTCTGGTATGGATATTAAAGGGAACTGCAGACCATTTGTTTTTTTAAATCAGTGTGGGGTCCCCCCCAGATCCATACCAGACCAAAAATCCCTTTGGATTGTGAGGGGACCTGCCCGCCATTTTTTCTTACTGGTGACCCACATGAGTGTAAACTCTGGGGTATGTAACCACACTCACTTGAGCTAAGGATGCCTCTCAGATGAGTAGGGACACAATGTCAATATTGCTAAACAGGTCTAGTTGAATGTGAATGACTGCTACAAATTTAAAAGCCTTTACTATACAAACAGTAAATAATTACATGTGTATTGCAGGATATCCCCTTTACAGTGTATGTACATATATATGCATATTCAGCTCTCGCACCCTGTATGTTGGTTGGTTTTACTATTAGTCTGATTAGAGAACTGTTCTTTTATGGTCTCGGCACTTACAAAGATACACAGCAGAATGAGGTTCCACGGGAAATACCTCCTGCAAAAAAAATAAAATGTACAATGAGATAAACTTTATATAGCAAGTACTGTATCAGGACGAGGCAATGTAATATCAGAACTCAGACTTCAGTCATTGGATGTCAGTAAATATACAATAAGAAAGAATTTCTGGTGCACAGAGGTAAGTTATTGCAAATTAGTAGTACAGGTAATAAACAGGATATCAGATGTACACAAGGCACATAACGTATGACTCCGTATTGTTGGGACAAGCGTGGGAACTAACACTGTTATAAATATCATATAATGTCCATGAATATACCATAACCAAGTCTTTTTATAGAGTCTCTGGGACACTAAGTGTAAATTAGCGTGAATTAGTGACAGCCATCCTAAAGAGCAAAGCCAACTCTGCATGCAAAGACAAGAAAGAAGAAAACAGGAGGCGCCAATCTAAGTGCAGTAGTAACATTAAATACAGCATTTACTACTGCACTTAGATTGGCGCCTCCTGTTTTCTTCTTGTCATTGGATGTCAGTAAACTAATGTTTGATCTCTATGGATTATTACTAAATTTAAGGCCTCACACAATAGGGGAGATTTACTAAAACTGGGGCACTCAGAATCTGGTGTAGGTGTGTATGGTAGCCAATCAGCTTCAACTTCCGCTTGTTCAATTAAGCTTTAGCAATAAAACCTGGAAGCTGTTTGGTTTCTATGCAGAGTTGCACCAGATTTTGTATTTTACGATTTTAGTAAATAACCCCCAATGTGTTCAGAGACACACACCCACAAGATTGTCAGATTGGAACCAATGGCTATGTCTGTGCAGGCGCTGCATCACAAAAGGCATTAGCAGGACTGTCTGCATGGAACACTGGTGTACCCTGTGTGGCCAATAATGTCTCTTTGTATGGGCATGGGCAAATGTCCATTTATTTTTTTCAGGTACTTATATAGCGCTGTCAATTTACGCAGCACTTTACATATATATTATACATTCACATCAGTCCCTAACCCTCAAGGGGTGTACAATCTAAGGTCCCTAACTTACATTCATATATTAGGGCCAATTTAGACAGGATCCAATTAACCTACCAGCATGTCTTTAGAGTGTGGGAGGAAACTGGAGCACCTGGAGGAAACCCACGCAAGCACAGGGAGAACATGCAAACTCCATGCAGGAGGCACCATGGTCAGGAATCAAACCCATGACCCAATTATTGCAAGGCAGACATGATAACCACTAAGCCACTGTGCCAACCGCCATTTGAAAGAACTTTGCTTTATCTGCATTGTTTGTAATGTATACATACACTATTCAGTACCCACATGAATGATCATTGCATGGTGCCCAATGGGTGATCACAAATGGGATCTCAAACATCTTTGAGGATAAAGTTATCAGCAAAAGTGTCTGTTCATGTCTGTTCAAGCTGAGGAATAGAAAGACTGTGCAGTGACAAGATTATTAGTAAATGGGTGACTGCCATCTTTAAAAGACACTGCAGCCATCCAGGGCAAAGTGAGAGTACCTATAACAAGCGCCACCTCCGCTGACCCATTAATTCCCCAGTGATCCCCACCTACTGCCTCTGTGCTCACTTCTGTTTCAAGTCTGCTTCAAATCTTCGATTGAACATGTATTGCTACTGTATGAAAATCACAAAGTTGCCCTTTTAACGACAGATAATATCAATGAGCTGGGTCTCACCTTGGTCCGCTGCAGCAGGCCAGAACCAAGTATGTTGTGAAGAAAACAATGCTGTCAAAGCAAAACCAACAGGAGGTTAGTTGTAGGGATGCCTTTTCATATATTTAAGACCAAGGAAACCATTTTTTAATATAACGAGGGTACTTTTTTACCCTGAACGGGTAAGTTCACTTTTCCACAAAAAAATTAATGTGTAAGCTAACTGCACATATCTTGGCTACCTCCCTGGACCCCAATGCACATAGTGGTCGTGATGTCTTGTGCTGCCAGTGTACTGGTCCATAAACTGCACACCACAATACACAGCCCTGAAGTGAGTATCCATCATAATGCTCGAATTGGCAATCAGCATGACCATGTGACCACACTGAGCGATAAGATGTGCTTCATTCCTGTGTAGAAGAAGAAGCCTCAGATGCACTTCCCATTGGTCAGCACGGTCACGTTGCTGCACTGACCACTACGCATTTGCCATTGTGAGCATTATTGTGGATACTCATCATATTGTGTACTGTGGTGTATGGACTGCTACACTGGCAACACAGGGAATCACAGCTGCTATGTGCAGCAGGGTCTGGAGGGGTGACCAGCATATTTGGAGATATTTCACCTTTTAACCCTTTAAAGTATAACCAAGCCAAAATTTTTTCCATTTAGGAGTGAAGAAAGTTTTTTTTTTTTTTTTGTGTCTCTTTGCATAATTTCCCTTTACTTTCTGTCTTGTAAACAAAATGGGAAGTGAGAGGAAATCTCTCCAAATCAATGCAGTTGATACAGTTGTCACCGTAACAAGTATCCCCATTGTAAGATTTCCCATGTATTCCTGTTCTGGTGACAATTCACAATTTTGCATTTTCCCTCGTTTTTAGTCCTATTGACAACGGGCACCAAAACAAACAGAGAGTGAATCCCCCTAATAGGAGACATAGGACTGAGGACAGATACCACCTGAGATGGCCATGTGTGAGTCTCTTCCAAAGGAAAAATGGGGGGAAGAGTGAAAACACACCAACAGTCAGCTAAGCGTGTCTGACTAGCAACATCAAAAGGATCAAATGAGTCCAGCAAATAGAAGACGATTGCCAAAAAGATGAATATGAGGGCCTACTTACAGTGACGTGTCATATTCATACATGTAATAGCATGGACAAACTGCACCTAAAGTACACAGAGAGATTAGGCTTCTGAGCATTGGGGTATTTTATTTTTAAATTCTGTATGCTTTAGATTAGGTGTGCTTAATGCCCCCATACTGATGAATGGTGGATGTGTAAAAAGTACATATAGAGCGCTTAAATACATTTGGGTGTGCAAAGCTGCCCTGTTTTGAAGGGAATACCCTAAACTCTTGTTTCTCTACTTCTGAATTTCGCATAAAACATAACAAAGAGTCCTGAAACTTCAGACTATCGTCTGATGCTGATGATTTCCTGCTAATAGGGCTTCATCTACACTTGTCGTGGTGTTCACCGCCCCTCTGAAAAGCGATCTTCAGTTGATCATTTTACAGAGGGCACTTGACAGATGGCTGAGAGGTGATATTTGGCCTACTCACCACCTGTTTTAACCCTTGAAAGACTGCAGCATCATTCTGCACTTGCTTGCATTACACAGGGCATTTTACAGTCGCATGAATGGGCCCCATCTGTCAATGGTACTGGCCTTTGAATGCCAAGATAACAAAAGCATCACAGCAGTAGCATGTGTCCTGTATCATGTCATACACCTTGTCCAGCTGCCATGTTAGGTCAATCTGGGAAGTTGAGGTTCAGTGTAAAGTAAAAGCAAATGTAAATGAAGCTTAGGTCATTTGGTGTTGGTTGAAAATTTCAGCCTAAGGTACTGGGCTCTGGAAACAGGCCTTTTTTTAATGAGGCATAAACATATTATATATATATGTGTATATATATATATATATATTATATATATATATATATATATATATATATATATGAAAAAAGAGCCTAGAGCTCCATCCGCTGAATATAAAAGCCATAAAATATGCATACACAATATTTTCTATTTACCTGATTATATAACAGATAAATATTTTATTTTATTTTGTTTGTTTATTAACTCATCAGAAATAAAGAAATACATAAAAACACAAATGTGAATGGGCCCTGATATATCTGAAAACACAATAAAGAAGTTAAAGTAGCTGTAAAAAAAATGATGGTACCTAAATATATAAATACTCACTAGGAAGCCCAATACCAGCCTGGGTTTGCCTGGACATATTCTTTAACTGGATCACTGAAAGGCAAATGACAGGTTTTTATTTCTCGTGTGATATTACTGCTGCCAGATACAGTTCAGACCACATACAAACTGTCTGTTTTAGTGTATTAATAAAAAAACAGTGAAATCTGTGAAATACAAAATACCATTGGAATATGAAACTATTAACTTTGCAGTGCAGTAATGTATATTCTGTGTACAGCAGCTAGGAATAGTACCCCATAATTAGCATGATTGGGAAAAACAGTATCCCATCATTGGTATGACTGGGAGGAATAGTACACCCATCATTGGTATTAGTGGAAGGAATAGTGCCCCATCATTGGTATTAGTGGGAGGAATAGTGCCCCATCATTGGTATTAGTGGGAGGAATAGTGCTCCATCAATGGTATTAATGGGAGGAATATTGCCACACCACTGGTATGAGTGGAGAGTATTAGTGGGAGGAATAGTACTTCAACAGTGGTATCAATGGGAGGAATATTGCCCCATCATTTGGTATGACTAGGAGGAATAGTGCCCCATCATGGGTATTAGTTGGAGGAATAGTGCCCTATCATTGGTATTAGTGGGAGGAATAGTGTCCTATCATTGGTATTAGTGGGAAGAATAGTACTCCAATGGTATCAATGGGAGAAATATTGTCCCACCATTGGTATGACTGGGAGAGGAATAGTGCCCCATCATTGGTATTAGTGGTAGGAATAGTACTCCATCAATGATATCAATGGGAAGAATAGTGCCCCATCATTGGTATGACTGGGAGAAATAGTGCCCCATTATTGGTATTAATAGGAGGAATAGTACCCAATCAATGGTGTGAGTGGGAAGAATAGAACCCCATAAATGGTATCAATAGGAGGAGTAGTGCCCCATCAGTGGAATGAGTGGGAGGACTAGGGCCCAATCATTTTTATTAGTGGGATGAATAGTACCCTATCATTGGTATCAATGGAAGGAATAGTGCCCTACCACTGATATGAATGAGAGGAATAGTGCCCCATCATTGGTATGAGTGGAAGAATAGTACCCCAATGGTATCAATAGGAGGAGTAGTGCCCCATCATTTGTATAAGTGGGAGGAATAGGGCCCCATCACTGGTATTAGTGGGAGGAATAGCATCTCATCATTGGCATGAGTGGTAAGAATAGTACCCCATCAATGGAAGGAATAGTGTCCTATCATTGGCATCAGTGGGAGGACTAGTGCCCCATTGTTGGTATCAGCTGAAGGAATAATGCCCTATTATAGGTGTCAGTGGAGGGACTAGTGCCTCATTGTTGGTATTATTCAGAGGAATAGTGCCCCACCACTGGTATGAGTGGGAGGAACAGTACTCTATCATTAGTATTAGTGGGAGGAATAGTACCCCATCATTGGTATCAATGGGAGGAATAGTGCCCCATCAAAGGTATCAGTGGGAGCAAAAATGCCCTCTCATTAATATGAGTAGGAAGAATAGTACCCCTTCAATGGTATTAATGGAAGGAATAGTGCCCCACCACTTGTATGAGTTGGAAGAATAATACCCTATTGATGGTATGAGTGGCGGGAATTATTCCCCATTGTTGGTGCCAGTAAGAGTAATAGTATCTTATATTGCCCCAAGGGTTTGATAAAGGCAAGCAAAGGACAGCTGTTTGGAGACTACTGGTCTAGATCGTAAAGAGAACTGCCATCATGCACTTTTAATCTGTTTTCCACACGGATTATTCAGATAAGTGAAAATGTACTTAGTGAATTGTGTTGTCATGTACAATATGAATTCTTGTGTCAAATCCTGTTGATAATAGATATTAAGGAATAACTCACCAGAAGGTAAAGAGTGCCACAATGGAGACAGTGACTAAAAGCTGAAGTGAAAGGATTGAATAGACCTGGAAAAGAGAAAATATGAAGAGTATTGCAGACAGTAGAAATGTCCCTTTTATCATCAGTGATATCACTCTCCGGAGAGAACAATGTCTTTCTGTTCTCACAGCTCAGCTCTTGGTACTCGCTCGCACTGATCTGAAATATTTACAGTATAAAGGCATTTACACTTGTCTTACATTATAGTGGCCTGACACTCCCACGTACCTTTCGAATAAATGACCTGCGCACTCGGTCATCCTCCCAGCTCATTGATGTCAGCATCTCGGTGTCTCCAGAATAGGCTCCACTACCGTAGCCGGGGCTGTTCCCTGCAACAGAGAAGGCTGGTCAGCAGCCCACTGGTGGTATGCAGAGGGAGGGGATAAATCTTCTGGAGGGTAAGTGGTTAATTTATTAGTCATTTACGTAAAGTCCATCTAAATCTATTAGTTCATATAACACCAACATTTCCACAGGTTGACAGTGCTCCTCTCCAAGGATGACTACTTTGCTTCTTCATAGATACAGTAGAGCAGTGATCATAGCTACCATTAGGCTGGCCATATACTATACAATCTGAGTGTACAATTTTCTTTAGCATTACTAAAGCTGGCCATAGATGGATTAAATATCAGCCAGTTTACAAGTGACTAGCCGAGATTCCATCCATCTATGGGCAGGCTGGTTGTACTGACATCGATCCATCAACCGACTTCAGTACAACCAGCCTGTCAGCTTTTTCCCAAATGATCACTATCGGTGGCTATAGCCACTAGCAGTGATCATTGTATTCTTCTGGCCGGGAAAGCTCCCTGCCAACAGAATACAAGAGTGCTGCAGGAGGGATTCCCCCATTAACACTGACTGTATTGATAATGGAAACAAGCATTTTTTTTTTTTCTGGCAACCTGTGGCTGCAGGAAAGAAAATTGCATAATGTATGACCTGCCTAAAACTGTCATTTGAGGACAAACCTAAGAGTTCTATTCAATTAGTAACATGTTAGGTAGGCTCTTGCACCACAAAGTTGATGGCAGATTTAAAGGAGATTGTACAATTAAACTGTATAGTGCAGAGGTCTCCAAACTTTCTAAACAAAGGGTCAGTTTACTGTCCTTTCGAACTTCGAGGAGGCCAAGTTGGAGTAAAAAATGCCCTGGTGTCCATGGAAGTAAGCAATACCCCATCATTGGTGTCAGTGGGAGGAATAGTGCCCTACTGTTGGTATCAGCTGAAGGAATAGTGCCCTATCATTGGTGTCAGTGGGAGGAATAGTGCCCCATCATTGGTGTCAGTGCGAGGAATAGTGCCCCATCATTGGTGTCAGTGCGAGGAATAGTGCCCCATCATTGATGTCAGTGGGAAGAATAGTGCCCCACCATTGGTGTCAGTGGGAGGAATAATGCCCTATCATTAGTATTAGTGGGAGAAGTAGTGTCCTATCATTGGTGTCAGTGGGAGGAATAGTGCCCTATCATTGGTGTCAGTGGGAGGAATAGTGCCCCATCATTGGTATCAGTGGGAGGAATAGTGCTCCATCATTGATGTTAGTGGGAAGAATAGTGCCCCACCATTGGTGTCAGTGGGAATAATAGTGCCCTATCATTGGTATCAGTGGGAAGAATAGTGTCCTATCATTGGTGTCAGTGGGAGGAATATTGCCCTATCATTGGTGTCAGTGCCCTATCATTGATATCAGTGGGAGAAATAGCGTCCTATTGTTGGTATCAGTTGAAGGAATAATGCCCTATTATAGGTGTCAGTGGGAGGAATAGTGCCCCATTGTTAGTGTCAATGGAGGGAATAGTGCCCCATCATTGGTGTCAATGGGAGAAATCGTACCCCATTATTGGTGTCAGTGGGAGAAATCGTACCCCATTATTGGTGTCAGTGGGCGGAATTGTGCTCCATAATTGGGGTCAGTGGTAGGTATAGTGCACTCTTTTTCTGTATAATTGACAGGAATTATGCTCTATTGTTGGTGTCAGTCAGTGTGTCTTGTATCAGGGAAGGAATAGTGCCCTGAGGACTGGCTAAAGCCAAGCAGAGGGCCCATTCGACCCTGGGCCGCAGTTTGGAGACCACTGGTATAGTGTATGGCCAGCCTTAGACAGGAAGCGTATTACTAGTCAGACCATTGAGTAGAGATGAAAAATAAAATTGAATACAGGCAGAACACATCTAGTGATTGGTAATCTGTAATATATTGTTTTTTAGGTTTTGAGTTTATATATGCTTTAAGCATTCTAAGGCTCTATTGCATGGGAGATCACACATGCTACACTTTTCAGTGGCACAAATCTGTGGTTTCCAGCGGTTGGAATTGACAGATGTGTGCAAGTAGTTTGGCTGCTGAGCCCATCCATGCAATGACAGCCACAGCTATTCATGACTGTTCACACAGCCAGGGATTACCTGTGTTGATCATAGCTGGATAAAATCATCAACAATATAAATTATATTTATTACTCATCGTGTTTTTATTATTCTGATACAGACTTTTTAATATCCAATGTGAAAGATGTTGATATTTTACTATCTACTGCTGGGTAAGAGCTCAACTGTTATCTGTGCTGGTGAAACCCATCATAAAGCTTACCTGCATCTTCTTGTGTCCAGCTGGGGTATACGTTGGATGGAGAGGTGTGAAGATAATTGGCCTTCTTTCCGTCTTCTGCCGTGGCCTCCTCATAAGAAGGGGGTGCAGAGGGATGGACGGTGTTATTTCCATTCCCCCCTCCATTCTCCGCACTTTTGTTACTAACAGTGACCTATAAAAAAAACATAATATACAACGTAGATAAGAAAGAAGTAATAATTTAATTCATTCATTTCCTTCATTCAGAAAATACCTGTAGAAATGTTTAAAACCCCTGCAAAAAATGTACTGATCCTAATTTAAAACTGTGATGTTATTTTGCATCAATACCCTCACAATATGATCTGAGTGCACCTTATACATACCCATCCTGTATTGCCCTATCCTTGTCATATACACTATCTTAGTCCGTAGGGTTCAATATTGAGTTGGCCCACCTTTGCAGCTATAACAGCTTCAACTCTTCTGGGAAGGCTGTCCACAAGGTGTAGGAGTGTGTCTATGGGAATGTTTGATCATTCTTCCAGAAGTGCATTTGTGAGGTCAGGCACTGATGTCGGACGAGAAGGCCTGGCTCACAGTCTCCGCTCTAATTCATCCCAAAGGTGTTCTATCGGGTTGAGGTCAGGACTCTGTGCAGGCCAGTCAAGTTCCTCCACCCCAAACTCACTCATCCATGTCTTTATGGACCTTGCTTTGTGCACTGGTGCAGTCATGTTGGAGCAGGAAGGAGCCATCCCCAAACTGTTCCCACAAAGTTGGGAGCATGAAACTGTCCAAAATGTTATGGTATGCAGACGCCTTAAGAGTTCCCTTTACTGGAACTAGGGGGCCAAGCCCAAGTCCTGAAAATTAACCCCACACCGTAATCCCCCCTCCACCAAACTTTACACTTGGCACAATACAGTCAGGCAAGTACTGTTCTCCTGGCAACTGCCAGACCCGTCCATCGGGTTGCCAGACAGAGAAGTGTGATTGGTCACTCCAGAGAACACATCCCCACTGCTCTAGAGTCCAGTGGCAGCGTGCTTTACACCACTGCATCCGACGCTTTGCATTGCACTTGGTGATGTAAGGCTTGGATGCAGCTGCTTGGCCATGGAAACCCATTCCATGAAGCTCTCTACACACTGTTGTGCTAATCTGAAGGCCACATGAAGTTTGGAGGTCTTTAGCTATTGACTCTGCAGACAGTTGGTGACTTCTGCGCACTGTGCGCTTCAGCATGCCCTGACCCTGCTTTGTCATTTTACGTGGCCTACCACTTCATGGCTGAATTGCTGCTGTTCCCAGCTGCTTCCACTTTGTTATAAAACCACTAACAGTTGACTGTGGAATATTTAGTAGCAAGGAAATTTCACTTATGGACTTATTGCACAGGTGGCAACCTATCACGGTACCACGCTTCAATTCACTGAGCTCCTGAGAGCGACCCATTCTTTCACAAACGCTTGTAGAAGCAGTCTGCATGCCTAGGTGCTTGATGTTATACACCTGTGGCCATGGAGGTGATTTGAACACATGAATCCAATGATTTGGAGGTTGGTCCCAATACGTTTGGCAATATAGTGTACATTCTTTATGTGCAGTTGCACCCAATTTTCCCAGAGCTTAGTAAATGTGGTAAAGCTTTGCTGATTTCCATCATCCAATCATGTACAAGCAAAGTGCTGTTTTTTTTTTCATTTTCCTGGCACCTGACTGGGTATTCTTTATAAAGTGAATCTTTACCCTACTACATATACTAAGGTAAATAAAAGCAACTGCACTTGCAATCCACCCCATAATATCCTTGTCATATATATTGCTGCTTAGTATGCTCAGCATCTGTTCACAAAAACACCTGTAACCAGGGGCGGACTGACAACTCATGGGGCCCCCCGGGCAGTTGGGGATCATGGGGCCCCTGTGTCCTTACCCAAACTCAAAAAAGCCTATGAAAACGGTACCAGGGGCATCTCATAGGGCCCCTACTGACCCCCGGGCCCTCGGGCAGTGCCCGAGTTTCCAAATGGTCAGTCCGCCCCTGCCTGTAACCTTACAGAGTAAGCATCCACAGCCTTTCTCGGCAGAGCTAGGAGAAGCCTGAGCACATGCTCCCTTAGAGCTGTCTAGAGCATAAATAAATGATAAATTATAATATAATATTATGCATTATAAAAAATATATAAAATACATAATAACATAATTAATTAAATAATACCTCTAAAATCTATTTTACACTACCATTAGCCTTCTCAAAAGTGATCTGTGGTGGGTCTCTCTTCCGAAGGAATTTGACAGGCAGTGAGGAGACCTCTGTTTCAACCCCTACAAACCCGGTGCACAGTTGTGAGGCAGTTGCAACACAGCCCTAGTCAGGTGAATGGATGACATCCAGCTGGCAATAATGCCCCACTGAGCATGACGGGGCGATAATTCTCGGCTTTTGTTCACGTGTGACTGGGGGGGGGGGGCAGTAAAATTGTGGGTCAAACACCTGTCTTTACTGCTGCTGACATGCAGCTGTTTATAGTTGAACTCCCGCTGCAGCTGTGATACTGTGCTTCTTGGCCACAGCAAAAATTACCAGCATATTGCTTCTGGTGGGCGTTGAACATGACTAATGCAGGTTTATGGGGCCACACCACAACCGCTCCGCAATGTATGCGACTGTGGTGTGGTAGTGTGGCATTTATAGGGTTAAATCAGGTGATGCAGGTGCGACGTATTGCCTCCTCACCGCCTGTCAAATGCCCTCTAAAAAGCGAACCATAGCAGATCACCCTTCAGAGGGCACCGCTCGTTTGAATGAGTCCTTGCAGAGGACATGAAGCAAGGCATCGCAGCCATGGTATGTGTTACATCCCTTTCCAATGACTTGCAGTTTAAGTGGGAATGATCGGTTGGGCAGTAAAAAGACCACTCAACCATATGTTTTTACTGACCCCCCCCCCCCCCCTGTCTGTGCCCTCCACAGAAATATTATTATTATACAGGATTTATTATATATAACACAGAATGCAAGAGTAGATATATAGTAAAATGGTTTTAGCACCTGTCTATTAGATTCTTAAGTAACACAAGATGCGTTCAGTACTGAAGGAGTTTCGAGAATACTACTATTACTACTTTTTAGAGTATTATTGCCTAATTTCCTGAAAAACTGATCAAAACTGTTTTTTTTTTCAGCATGGATGGGACAGTGGAGGGGAGTAAAATTGAAAAGCCCCCTTAAAGGAGAAGTACAGCCAAAGCACATTTGGCTGTACTTTCCTTTTGGATCACAGGAGTGCAGTTCGTTTTGTACTTCTTTGACCTGTTTTCAGCTGACAGTGGGCTAAAGCCTGCTGTGGACTGAAGTCAAGGATCACAACCATATGGTCAGGATCCACCAAGGAGACTGGACCAGCACTTGGCTCAGCCTCCCAGCAAGTAACTGAAGCCCGAGTCAGTTGCTTCTGCTCCCTCCACAGCCAAGCGCTCTGGTGAGTGTTGGGGTGGTGGTGGGGGGCTGAGCAGACAGCAGTGACTGACAGTTACCGCTCTCTGCTCAGAACGGCGAGGAGAACTGAGCAACCTGCAGTGCTTGATCCCTCAGTTCTCACCCTTAGGGCACAGATCGGATGGATGTTGCATCCACCTACGTCAGTATGATTTAAACAAAAAAAAAAAACATACTTCTCTTTTAAACTGATTGCGTTTTCTGTACAAATACAACAGAGATTTTGTTGAAATCATTTTGTGTCTCATGAGTGTGAATCATACTGTGTGGGAGAAGTTCTTCAGTTGTACAGCAATGTGCACAGATAAACATGTTGTGTGGTGAAGCTGCAATAGAAACATACTGTAAGTGTGGAGACCAACCTTCTCATCCAGGGATCTGTGGAACCCTAAGGTTTCTCCAAATTTTTTCAGGGGTTTCTTTAGCAATATGTAAGCTGGTAGATGGTTAGAGAGACAGCTGCTGCCCCAGCCAAAGGGAACAGCTAACCTGTTTTCCTGCACTTTCTCTTGAGCTCTGCCTCTCTTCCTCTGCTGATAATACAAGGGGGGAAGACTCTGCCCAGACACACAATCTGCATTGGAAATAAGGCACAGACAAGCCACAGCATATAATCTCCAGCTGCTTACAAAGAAGGAAGGCGGAGCAGTTCCTCGTTGGAGAGCAAGCCTCCTTGGAGAGCAAGCCTGCCCGTTGTCCTCAGCCTAGTATGGACTCTTACTTGTGCAGGTATGCTGGGGCAGCCATAAACCAAAATTAGAGATTAGGGATGTCACGAAAAGACTGTGCACTTTGTTCTGCCACTCTAAGAGTTTTCAGTAAACCTCTTGAAACTTTGCCATTGCCTGGTCTGAAATTACTAAAGAGGTGTAATGCAAGTAACTGGCACCACATATAGTCTACAGGGTGAGTCAGTAAAGCACATTGGAGTATGAAGACAGCAAATGGTTTCCTGCTGTAGCAGAGGTTTAACAAAGATCCTGTGACAGGTGGGACAGCCTCTTGCAGCGAGAGAGCTGTTGTCGGCACACTCTCCATCTCCCATAGCAATGGGAGCAGATCAGCGCCACAGAGGTTCTCAGCCTGTCCACAGGTATGGAAGAGAAAAAGTTGATGCAGAGCATGTATGGAGCCCGTGCTAGGTGTTTGGTAGGGCCTCATTCCGTTACTGGGTGTTTGGTAACAGAGATACGCTACACAGGTGGAGAGGTCATCAGCTCACCGTGTTTCTCCTGCAACAAATCTCAGTGAAAGTGTACATTGACACGAGGACAAGAGGGCTAATAGGAGGACAGTTTATCGTTCAAGTGTACACGGTGTAAGCCTATCTTCGAGTTGGGGGTTGGGTTATCCCTGAAAGCGGCCTTTGCCTTGTCTCAGGGTATTGATAAGCATGGCACAATAAAGGTACCTCATGGGCAAGGCGAGTGACCCACCCAGAGCCCAAAGAACCTATCCCAGGGTAGGCCTCATATGTGGCCCATAGTTGGCGCCCAACGAGGAGGGGAACACGGAGGAAGTGCCACTCTACCCTACAAATAAACTATATCTTACTGTATGATAAGTAACTACTGACTGTGCCCTCTGATACCAAAGACCTTTTTTGCTATTTGTAATGAGGTATTCTTCCCACTGACTACCAATGCAAGAAGCATTCCAATCGAATCTCCCTGATGAAGCCACGTGACCCGG